TAACACTGTGGGAAAATGGAGCAGTGGAGGGATGTGGAGCAGGGCAGGGTGTGTTGCAATTTTGAATATAGCACCCAGGGTAGACTTGCCTAACAAGCTGGGGGTAATTCAGGGGTTTCAAAAGCCTGGCTCAACCTGGTTCTCTAGGACCCCCTTCACTGGCAGGCTGCTACCCACTCACTCCCTGCCACCTCTCACAGAGTGCAACCCTGCCTGCTGCTGACATGGATGAGGCTCACAACATAGTCCAGATGATGTCCATTTCTAGGATGGGCCTCCTTTCTGGGGATACTGACCTGTCATTTACTCACCTTGGGCCTACCTAGAGACTCAGGCGAGGGTAGAACATGGCCAGCAGTGTCCTTCAAGATGGAAGTCCTGGGAAGAGATTCTCCCTCCCACCTTAGGTCACTCAGGGATGCTCATGACTAAGTGTATGGGTCTCCTTTCACCTTGAGTCCTCCACTGAGCGAATGCCATTCTCCACTCTCTGCTCCTATCAAAGCAACACTACTGGGAAGAACCACTCACATCTAGACTGCGAGACCCATGCCTCACTCCAACGCTCTGCTTTAGCTTGTGCCTCAGCCCGATGGTCAGGGCACTGGGCTAACTGCTCACAGGGAGCATTGCCCCTTCTTCCAGGAGGACAGAGGGAGCAATGCCCCTTCCAGGAGGGTAGGCACATTCCCCTCTCCAGAACACTGACCTTGGGACCCCCAACACACTAGCAGATGCTAGCACAGGTTTTGCAGCCAGCGTGGCCTCTGGGCTCTAGCTGCACACCTCCAGCTTCAGCTGAGTTCTGGGAAGCGCTGACATAACTGTCCAACAGGGACCTGAATTTCCTCTGCTCTTGACCTAACCTGTGGGAAGTAGCCCTGTCCTGCCTTCTGGGTGTCCTATGAATCTTTTCGCCATCAGGTTCAGCTTTCACACTGTGGGGACTGTTTGCACGTGGTCTCAGCTCCCTTCTCAAGCTGAGAGCATCCTCCATCAGATCCAGAAGATGGTGCTTCCTAGACCTTCCCCTCTGGCTGTTACCTTCTCTGAGAAGCTCCATATGGTAATGGCTACATGGCCCCCGCCTGCCTAGCAAATCAGGCACCTAGCTTAGTGTCAGACACTGTTGGTGACAGAGCAGTATGTATGTTCAAGTATGTGCACTTATGACCAGGTGATGTATGTGCAAGTACACGCACTTATGACCAGGTGTTTACCTGTCTTTCCCATGAAGATGAAAAGCTTTCATAATAAGATAGCACAGTTTAATAGTTGAAAAAACAGGTAAATCACAAAAGCACTAAAAATTATATATATATATTATATATATATATATAATATATATATATATATTTTAAAGAAGCTGGGCGTGGTGGCACAAGCCTTTAATCCCAGTACTTGCTAGGCAGAGGCAGGTGGATCTCTGTGATTTCAAGGCCAGCCTTACCTACAAAGCTAGTTCCAGGCCAGCTGATGCTACAGGGAGACCCTGTCACCAAAAGATGGAAAATAAAACAGAGGAAGACACTTCGACTTGGAGGCTCAGTGTGCAGGATGCTTTGGTTGTCAACTTCACACACCTGGTGGAGGGAGCCTCAACTGGGGGTTTGCCTCCACTGGACTGGCCTGTGGCCATGTCTGTGGGGCATTTTCTTGATTCTCGAGTGATGTGGGAGGGTCCAGCCCACCTGGCTAGGTGGGCCTATGTTGTATAAGAAAGCAGACTAAGCAGGGGCCAGGGGAGCAGGCCGGTAAGCAGTGTTCTTCCATGTCCTCTGCTCCAGCTCCTGCCTCCAGGTCCCTGCCTGAGTTCCTACCTTGGGTTCCCTCAGTAATGAACTGAAACCTAGGAGATATAAACCACATCAACCCTTTCCTCCCCAAGTTGGTACTGGCCAGAGTGCTCTGTCACAGCAATTGAAGGCAAATTAGAACATCAAACTCAAATCCAGTTCTTACCACTGAGCAGTGGCACCACAACACAGCAAGGAACCTCCCACGCCTGTTTTGGTGAAATAGCTTGACCACAGTACCTGCAGTCTGTGAGGCCTTGTGCACAGGACAGTAGCCACACAGCCAGTGCCTGAGAAGTGGTGAGAACTGCAACTGGCCTCTCCTCCGAGATAGGGAAGCCAGCATGTCCTAGGGGATGGCCACTGAGACCATGCCTCCCTGTGATCATTATTAATAGGACGAGCAAGCATTCTAGCCCTAGCAGGATCCTGCTGCCCCAATGGTAGGCCCACACGTTAAACTCTGGTGCCCCTCATGAAAGTGCAGCTCCTTCAGGCTAAGTGTCACATTGGCCAGTGGTGAACACCAATTGGGTGGAGGCAGAAGAAGCTAGACCCACCCAAGCCACAGATGGCTGTGTGCGGGTAAAAGTCATCATCTGAAGTGTGTAAGTCTAAGCACAGATATGAGTACAGATGTGTGAGACAGCACAGATGCATGTGAGTATAAGAGTGCGTGTGAGAGAGTACGCGTGCATGGATGGGTGTGGGTGTGGGTGCTATGTTCCGTTGAGATGGGCAGAGACTGATGGGAAGCAGGGGGCTCTCAGCTGAGCTCCTCAGCCCGCTGCACACAGCACATACACAGCTGATCCTCCCTCTTGCAGAGCTTTTCTATACATGACAACGGTGATGAACTTGGGAATGAACACCCTCTTAAGACCTATTTCATGTCCTCTAAGCATCTTCCAAGCCTGGGAACCCTGAATGTCACAGGATTTTACACACACACACACACACACACACACACACACACACACACACACACACACTAGCAGCCTCAGGGAATGTCTCTCATGAGCAAAGTCTGCCCCCCACCCCTTGACCCCAGAAGGTCATGGACTCCTTTGACTGCTCACTGTGGGATGAACTTTTGAGTTAAGTCCAGGAAACTGCAGAGAACTTGTCTCACCTGCACTGTGTCATGGCTCTATGACTTTCACTGCGGCTGTGAGTATACTACTCGGTGCACTGGCTGCTGGGAGCCATGCTGACTAGAGACGCCCACACCACAGGGCAGATGCCCCACATCTGCACACTCGGCTTTTCCTCTGGCAGCAGAGCTCCCAGTAGGCTGCTGCTATCCACAGCTGGCTGCCCAGCATGCGCCTGCCAAATTGCCCAACATGCTGTATATCAACTGTCATCAAAGGCTGCAGGGCAGAGGAGTGGGGCTCTGCCCAACTTGAGTGCATTAGTGAGATTTTAAAGAACCCTGAATAAAACTAGTGCTTCATGCTTCTTGATGTGTTTACGAACTTTTCTTCTTTTGTCTTGAGGAAGTCAGAACTGGCCCAGGTCAAAAGCGAGGCCCTCTACTGTGACTGACAGTAACCAGCACTGGACCCGTGAACTTCATTATGGGGCTGCACAGTGCACCAGTCACCTTGCAACTATGGTAAGGAGGCACGCAATGGCCTGGGCAATTTCAAAGGCAGTGGGTTTTATTCCAGGGGACCCAGTAGTCAGATGGGGTGCCACTCCTGCTGGGATTAACGTTACAACCAATGCTGTCTGTGACAGGGAACTATTGGGAGGTAAGAAGCCAGCTATACCCATCCTACCTGTCCAGAGCTCTTCCAGAGCCCTCAACAGCTGGCTGTGGGTCTGCTCTGGGTTTACCCTGAAGCCAGAGCACGACACCATAGGGAGTTCTGGGAGCCAGGCCCACTCAGCAACTTCCTCTTGGTACTGCAGGTCTAGACCCTGCTTTTGAGTGGTTTGCTGTCTGTGTGGCTGCTCCAGTGACACACTCGGAGGTCTCACCCTGAGCCCTGAGTGATCTTAGAGCCTTCACTGACCGTCCTCTCAAGAGGTCTGGTGTGTAGCCTGAGGAACAGAGTGAGGCTCAGCTCTTCCCTCCTGTGGTGGACACTCAGAGCTGCTGCTCTACCTCGACTCCTGACTGAGGTGCTTGCGTGGGCAGCTTGTGCGTGTCAAAAAGAACAATGCTAAGTGGAAATGGCCCAGGACAGAGCCCTATGTCCTGGCACTGGAGACTTCTGCAGAACTCCAGAGTTTTGTAGTGCCTGGCTGGGGTGGTCACATTCAGTAAGCACCTATAAGTACCTGTTTCAAGTCCTTACCAACCCCCACGAGACATGCAGTTCCCTGGGAATGGGTAGTGGTGATGCAGTGTGTGTAAGCCAGAGCCTGCCTCAACAGCACCACTACACCCACAGTCTCAGTATCTCTTCAAGGAGAGGAAGCATTTTAGTGATATCCCGACTCCTGACTGTCTGACCCGGAGGCCATGTGTGCTGCCTCTACTTTGACACCCTGTGCTCAACTGTCCGGGCCACCCCAGTCTCTCCCATTCCTCAAGCAGATGTGGAGGCTGACTCGGGGACTTCCCTGCGTTTCTGCTGGTTGAAGTACCCCAAGTCCTGGCACCTGCCTGATGTCGTCAGGCTTCCCTTCCAGTCAGCCTCACTCTTAGCCTAACATCAGGGCCTGGTCACCCAGCTGCCATCAGCTCTCTTCTCCCAACTGGTTCAGAGTGGCACCATCACCTGCCAGCCAAGCCACAGGAGGGGAGGCACACCTGAAGCTCGAGGGCTCGGGTGGGTGCTCGGCACCTGTACCTCTTCCCTGTGGTCTCTGCTGTTCCCTCCTGGCTTTGTGGGCCCAGCCTCCCCCATGCTGTTCCCTCAGCTGTTCCTGTAGAGCTGTTCACCTCTAGTCTCTCGATGACAACCCCCTGCCCTTGGCACCCTCTGCCCCTTCATGTCATCCAGACATCTTCCTCTCCTGGGATACCTACTTAACCCCAGGACAAGGTGCACAAGAGGCCTCCACTTAGCCACACAGACACCTCCTTCCACCTACACCAATGGTTACCCACACTCTATCAGTCCTACTTCACTGGGTGACAAGCAGCAGCAGCAGCAGCCCAAAACCAGGTAGACCGCCCACCCAGGTCAGAGACTGATACCGTTCACCACTGAGCTCTCGGCACATTCAGCAGGGCTCCACATCTCCTACCTCATTTCCCAGCAGAGCAGAAACACATGCTTCAGAGGCATCGCAGATAGCTGTCAGGTCGTGGCCTCCCTCAAGGGCTAGCACAATCCGGCCACCAGCCAGGCCCATCAGTTGCTTTGTCAAGTACCCAAAACCTGCAATGGTGGATGGACATGTGAGTGGAGGGCAGGTGCTAGAGCTCCCCACAAACCCTCCTACACCAGGAGCCGTAGACAGCTTAACACAGTTATCCAAGAGCTTAGGTTTAAGATCTCCTCTTCATTTGATTACGTGCAGATGGCAGTTTCAGTGCTGTGACTTTGTGAGGTAACCAACTCCATACAGCGGCCGTTAGCTCCTCAGAGGGCCTGCTGTTCTGGCTTTCCCACATCACATCTAGGCCCCTGTTTCCATCTAGAGCCACAGGGTCTTCCCCGTGCAAACAGCACCCATCTGGCAGATGACTCGATGGGCATGGAGACACCACTCACAGCCAGAGGACGCTGGTGTTGGCTAGGCAGATGGAGAGCCCTAGTAAGCCAATGGCCTTGACTGGCCCACTGATGACACCAGGCTGCATCCACAGCTAGTTGAGGGGCACCACAGGCAGACACTTAAGGCAAACCCAGTTAACAGAGACCACAGTACATAGGAGGTGCTCTGTGACCTCTGCCTGGTCATTCTGCCAACCACTGGACCACACAGCTAGGGGCATTGACACCCCATCAGCCATTTCCTGTCTCATTACTTCCCTGCTGAGTCCACACCTCAATGGTGAGGGTAAGACACAGGCTCTCCTTCTTGACCACCTGTGCTGATGGGCAAGGAGTAGAGGGCAGTTCTAGGATGCCAGGGCCTTGATTCAGAAAGGTACTAGGGCCATGTCTCAGGACGTGGTTACCTTAGCTTCCCAGGCTCCTTACTTCTTCTGACACAGGGCACTTGGCATCATGGCTAGGTGAGGAACAGCCAGGCCTTTGTGCGACCTAAGGTGCTATACCTGAGGCCTTCTAACTCCTTTCCATGTGCTACAGCAGAGCAGCAGGGCCACAGACAACACTGGCAAGGCTATGCACAGCCTTTTTTCTCCTGTGTTGAAGTGCAGATGCAAGTCCTCACAGCTGTGTCCCAGTCTCCATTCATCTACTCCCCATTCAAAGATGAGCAGGGCCTGCTTCTCCACCAGAGAACAAAACACAGCACCAAGGATATGTCAGCCAGGCAGGACTAGGGACCACTCCTGAAACCTGGAGGGGCCTGCATGCCCCTTAGGAGTCCATGATCTAGCTGACAGCCCCTGTGCTCAGACTCCCTGATGCCTTTTGGGACTTCTGTAGGGTAGAGCCTGTGGTTTCCGGCCCTCAGTTGCTGCTGCTCAGGGCTTGTGGAGGCTGCAAACAGTGTTCTGTTCTGAGTAGGAGTTAAAGGTGAGTGCCCTCCTGCTGTGTGACCCAGAACACAAGCAGTCCTGGGACAAGCAGAGATGTGGGTGGGGAAGGTGGCCTCTGGGGACTCACATTTGGCAGAGAGATTGTACCCTCCAAGAGGTGTGGGGTGGCCTTCCACAGCATCAAAGCCTGAAGACACCAGTACCACATCTGGGGCAAACTCGTTTGCGATCGGCATGACCACGGTTCTGCAAAGGGCAGGAAAAGGCATTACTTGTTAGCTAAGGACATGGCCATGAGGAAGACAGTGGTTGTCAAACAGATGCTCTCTGAAGCCAGTGGCACCTGTGGCCTAATTCCTCTATGGTTAGTAGGCTGGGAGCTGATGGCTCCACTGAATTTTAAGAAAATCAAATGAGACCATAGTGTCTCAGATACCTTCAGTCCCAATGCTATGAATGCTGCCAGAATTCCTTGATACGCGGTCATCACCAGGTAATGTCACAGGCATTAACATGGGCAGGGTACAGAGCACGCTGTGTTGCTGATAGTACCCCTCCCCATCCTACCCTGTACTTCACTATAGGCCCCGCCCATGCCCTCTCAGCCCCACTCCTTCTGGCCCTCTCCCAAACCCTAGTATGGCTCTTCAGCTGAGGCTGCCCTTCCCACAGCAAGGCTTGCATCTGAGGCAGGCACAGTGCGACGGTTAATCACCTCGGAGACAGGTCACTGGACACACCTGTGAGGGACATCTACTTTAGGTTAACTGAGGTGGGACGATCCACCCTGAGGTTAGGGCCATCTCATAGGCTGGGGTCCTGGCTGGGGATGGATGTGACCAGCTGCTTCCATCATGAGGGATGGCACCCTTGAACTGCGAGCCAGAATAAACCCTTCCTTCCTTAAGTTGCGTTCGTCAAGTAATTTTTTTTTTTTTTTTTTTTTTTTTTTTTTGAGAAGGGGGTCTGGCTGTAGACACAACTGGCCTGGAACTCTCTCTGTAGACCAGGCTGGCCTCGATCTCATAAGAGATCTGCCTGCATCTGAGTGCTGGGACTAAAGGTGTACTCCACCATGCCCAACTTTTTCAAGTATCTTGCCACAGCAGTGAGGCAAATAACCAACATTGTATGATTACCACCTGGCACGGGGCACTGGGCAGTACATGCAGCTGTGACAATACACAGGCCCTGCTCAGCTCTCTGCAGCCCCATGGGCTCCCACCCTCCCTCTAGTGCCCTGTGCCTGCAACCATGGGTTATTTCTGCACTTGTGAGGGTGCATTAAGAGAAAATGAGACAGTCAGTATGGAAAGACAGAAAACTGACAACACATTTAAGAGAACTGTGGAAAAAAACATAATGACCAGGGGCCGGAGAGATGGCTCAGCAGTTAAGAGCACTGACTGCTCTTGCAGAGGACCTGGGTTCAATTCTCAGCACCCGCACGGTGGCTATGAACAGTCCTTAACTCCAGTTCCAGAGGAATCTGAAGCCCTCTTCTGAACTCCACGACATTGCATGACACGGGCACATACATGCAGGCAATACATTCATACACATAAAATAAAAATAATAAATAAATTAAAACCCCAAACCATAATGACCACAATGAGCTCAATGGTTATACCACTCTACCTGAGAAGCGGAAACCCCACCTCTCAATACATCAGCCATGGCACCAGAGCTATGACAGTGTTATAACTGATCCAGAAGTTTTTGAGGCCTCCAGCATCCTCAGAGCTTGCTTCAGTCCCCCTCTGGGGGTCAGCAAGGACCCTGAGAGTGAGGCCTATGGTCTCTTGGTAGCAGAGTGTCAGGGAATGTGCTCCTGGGGTAGAGGAGGATGGTGGTGTGGAGCCTGGCCATGTGATATCAAGCCCATGAACTTCCGATGGAGCCTTTTAGAACTTTCTCTGCTACTGTGCTTGGAGCCACCCACCTAGCTTGTTCCCTCCAGGAGACAACTGTGCCGTACAGCCTCTCTGGCATACATGAAGGGTCTTTTTATTCAATGTGTGTGCAGGAGGTCCCCAAGAAGGGGCAGCCAGATGTACCAGGGGAAGGTTCTTTCTACTACCACATACTCTGAAATGCCAAAAAAAATGCTCAGCTCCATGATCTTTCAGCCTCTAGAACCAAGTAAAATTCCCTAGCAAAATTGGCAGAAGTGTCAACTCTGGCCAAAAGAAACACGAGACTCAAAACTCAATGCGGGGGTGGGGGTGGGGCTGGAGAGATGGCTCAGCGGTTAAGAGCACTGGCTGTCCTTGCAGAAGACCAGGGTTTGAATCCCAGCACCCACACGGCAGCTAACAACTGTCCCTAACTCCAGTTCCAGGGGATCCGACAGCCTCTTCTGTTCTCTGTGGGCACTGCACATGGGTTCACTTACCTACATGCAGACAGTACACATATAGACATAAAAAAAAAAAAAAAACCCTCAATGGGACCTGCTCAGGCACTGACTGCCAAGTTCCTCTGACTTCAGGGATGGAACACACACTCCCACATCTTAGCTCCTAGGGAGTGTCCAGACAGAGAAAGGCCAAGTACAATGTTGTGGCCGTCACACTGCTGCAGCTGGCTTGGCTCTGGTCGGTACTGACAGGGCTGCTTGAATAACACCGAAAAAACCCCCAGGTACTCTGCAGCTTAGACATGCCTTCCAAGCTGAAGGAGGGCAGTCATGGAAGGGCTGGGCTGATGGGCTGCTCTTGGGGGTGTGCAGTCTAGTGTTTCCTGGAATTGGCTCTGCTTCAGGCTGAAGGGACTCTCCAGGCTGTGGTCTGTACCCTGGGGGCTCTGAGGACCATCATTAGAGTGGAGGACATACCCAGGTGACCACAGACCAGGGCCAGTACACCTATCAAAGGCTGGGCAGGACATATTTTAGTCTTGGGGTCACATGGTCTCTGTGAGGCCAGGTATAGCTTTGTGGTGTGAAAGCAACAGACACAGGTGAGGAAACGTGTGAACGCTGTGGTGGTTCAGCATAGGCGGCAGCTGGCTGACCCTGCCCAGGCCCCACCCGGACAGCTTCTGTCCTGGTCTTCTGTGCAGGACCTCAACCCCAGATTCCAGAACTGTCTTTGTACCCCAGGACTCTGTAACAAATGGGACATCAGACTCATCTCATGGACATCAACATTTAAGCTGAGCGTTTACCCAGGCACACATTGGCATTTGTCTAGAAACCTTGCCACAGTGGCTGGGAGCGGGGAGTTCATAATCTACCAAGTCACAGGGTGGACCCTTTGATCTCTATGTGACAGGCCTCCTTACACTGCTGTGGACCAGCCGGGAGTGGGGAGTTCATAATCTATCAAGTCACAGGGTGGACAGAATGCCAGTGGATCCTTTGATTTCTATGTGACAGGCATCCTTACACTGCTGTGGACCAGCTTCCCATAGGCCATGCTCTGCAGGCCTCTCTGAGCTCTTAGGTCTGTCTTGGGAAGGTAGTACTGACAGTGGCTGCCTGTCTGTTCTCACTGTCCACATCATTCCAGGTCGACCACATTCTAACTACTACTCAGTGACTCTGCTGTCACAGAGCCCCCGTCGCAGCTTGGTATGGATTTTAAAGTTGTTAAACCCCAGCTATTGGTACTGACTATAATTTGCTAAGCACCTCAGACAATGTTCTGAAAGAAGTGGTGGGCTTAGTTCTCAGCCCCGAAGTACCGCCACGGTGAGCTGTTTAGTATCTACTCCCTGCCCCAAAGAAAGTCCTGTTAAAGTCATTAAAGAAGCTCACCAAGAGCTCCGATGTTTACACCTGCTGTGTTGTGGTGTCTGAAAGCCAATCAAAACGAAATGTAAAACCTGCCTGAGGCTGGGGGGACGGACACGCACAGCTGTCTGCATGCCCCGTGCTGGTGTCTGCTCAGCTAGCTCCAAACAGGCTGAAGCCTAGATAGTCTGTGATGGCCCTGAATGTCAGGCAAGTGCTTGGGGTGTCTCAGTACCCACACGTGACACCCTAGGAATGACGCTGCTTCTTGTTGGGATGAAGCTTTTTTGCTTTACATGTCAGTTGGACAATGCCCATGTACCTCCTACCACAACCTTCCTGCAGGAAAGAATCTCAAGAGTACTTTCTATTTAACTGAAGTTCAAAGAAAATGGGAGACCGGGCTTACATTTGCCTCCAGAAATACATTCGTAATCAACTTAGTCCCTGAGAGAGATGGTCAAATATCTGCTGTGGTCCTCCCTTCCAACCGTCATTTCATGGAGTTGCTTTGCCTTCTACAGGGCAACCAAGGAGTGAGTATGTGAATGATGAGTGTGACAGTGTGTGTGTGTGTGTGTGTGTGTGTGTGTGTGAGAGAGAGAGAGAGAGAGAGACAGAGAGACAGAGAGAGCGAGCGCGAGAGTGGTGGAGGGGTGCTGAAGCTTCCCAAGGCAGACCAATTTGTCTGCTTGGAGGAAGGAAAAGTGGGTCAAAACAGGCAGATCTGAGAAAGACAGGCATGACTAAAGCTCCCCCTCGGTACGAGTGGGCAGTGAGGATCCCCACAGGTGTTTAGATGCTAGGCTAAGGGCCACAGGCTCCCCAGTGGGTGCCTGTGGACTGTGGAGTAGTCCTAGGGGACCACAGTGTTGTGTCTCTTCTGCAGCTTGGGCAGCCTTCATTCCCAATATGGTCCTGGGCTCTGCTTCTTCACCAGCTACCCAACTTCTGTAGCCTTGGGGGCATGGACCTTCACGTATATGCATGGCCTAGAGGATACATGCCCACATATGTCTCTACTGTGGCTTGCCTGGTGAAACATGAGGACACAGGCCTACACTGCAGTGCAGACACTTCATCTGCCAGTCACCCGGCTACGCCATGGAAAGGCTAGTGCAGGCACTATCTGGGGGTGCAGAGGTGCAGCCCACATCTCATCAGCGGACAGGATGCACACCAGTGGCACCTCTGAAACCCACACTGACCTGCAGTAAGTGCTTCAGTGGCTGGGCTCCCACACCTGGGAAGAGAAGACCTCCCAAATCATCTCCAGGCTAAACCCACAGGCCAGAACTTGAGGCTTAGAGCACTGCAAAACGACGGCTCATGAGGCTGTGACCCCCATGGTAGCTAGCACTAGGGACCTCTATCAGCACAGGAACGTGGTTGGCATACCACCCCTGCACCTAAGGGAGGCTTTCCCGTTTTCCACACATGCTCAGGCATCACTCACAAACCTGCTCATCATGTGCTGACATATTAGAGCCACTGCTCAGAGCACCCTTGCCTGCCTGTGTCCTATTTCTCTAAGGCATGAGATTACATGCTATGGTGGCCTCAGCTCCAGGCCAGGCCAGTCAGTGGGCGCTCACTGCTTGATCAGCAGACCCAGCTTCACAGAGAGCAGCTGTGCAGGCGCTGAGGGCACCATTTCAACAATCCAGTGTTCTGCTGACGGAACAGTCCTCTGGTTACAAGCCTGCCAAGGTCTCACTTGGAGGATGTGGCTAGGGCTTGCCACCTCTCGTCTCCTCCAACCTACTCTACCCTGCAGGGTTCATGGCTCTGGGCCACATGTTGGCAGGGTGCCCCCAGCCTCTGTACCTTAGAAACCCCACAGCATTCCTTGGCGAGAACCACTGACTCCATCTCTCCGACCCAATCCAGGCTGGTGGCAGCCACATCTAGGATGCACCTCACCCAGTCCTGATGCTGCCTCATGCGTCAGTGTCATGTAGGAAAGTCACCAAGGCCCACTGCCAATTCCATACCCTTGGCCACTCCCAAGGCAACCCCAGCCCCTACCAACCCCAGAGGCTGGCACCCCCACGTTGAGAGCTTCCCTTCCCCTCCACAGGCCCCCTACCTTTTCAGCACTTCCTCCGATTAATCCACCCCAGGAAAAAACAAACAAAGACCCATGTGGAATGAGAAGAGGGTCCACAGAAGACACCCCTTAAGTTAGCAGGGGCCTGGACTGGTGGAAGGCTCTTCTGGCCTTTACTGAGTGGCCTAACTCCTTTCCCATGTTGTCAGAACAGAATGATAGTCTTCACCTCCTCACATCTAGAACTCTGTCCTAACCCACCAAACCTCTTTCTTGTGTTACTAAATGCCAATCTGGATACTTTCTCACAAATGTCCCAAGCCTGAGCATTCTCAGCTCCACACCCCAAACTGCTCTCCAGGGTCTCTGGCCTGGTGCCACTGACCCTGCTACCAGCCAGTGCGAGGGAATGTGCTGCCCACACCCACCGCAGTCTTAGTGCTACGGCCTGTCTGATGAGGTGGCTCCTTCACCATCTGCTGGGCTTCTCCACTCAAACACTCTGGCCTACTCCATCCCGGGATCAGGCAACAGGAGACAGATCCCCCTCATACTCACCAGGCTGAACCCCTCAAAAGCCCCTTAGGATCAAGGCTGACCAGCAACTTCCCTGGAGACAGCCTCTTCCCTTGATGCCTGGGCCCTCTCTGGAGCCCTCAGGGTCCACTGCCATCTCCCTCTGCAGAGTCCCCTGGCGCAGTTCCCTGAGCTGATGCTTTCCAAGCTTCAGTCCTTGTTTTCGCTCCTGGGGCCAAACAGTTGGTGAATCATGAAATTTCCGGGCTGGGTTTCTACTTCTAAGATCATGGCCACTCATGGTCTTTGATGTAATTCTATATAGGGAAGCAGTGGCAGGCTGTGATGGCATTTAACTGCTTTTAGAAAAGGCAAATGGTTTGGAGCGAATTTCCATACAGCAAGTGCTTGTTCCTCAGGCATGAGGCTGTTCAGAAAGCGCTGTGGCGACTATAGCTAGTGCCACTGAAGTGTGCACTCACAGGTGGCTGTGTGTGTCTTACCACTGTCAACGGCTGTTTAGAGAAAGCAGCAGCAGCAGCCTTACAATAGAGTGAGGGCTCAGGGTCCACCTGGCTGGCAGGAACGGAGTGCTCTGCCCCTTGTTCGGTTTGAGACCACTCTATGCTGCTCCCTGAGATTAAACACACCACTCAGAACATTGGTTCCTCTAATGCAAATGTCTGCTAAGCTTCCTGATGCCACACAGGATCCTACGTCACCGCTGAGCGGCTCTGGCACTGACCGTAGCTACAGGAGGGTTTAAGGACAGCACATCACGGTGCTCCACTGGATCTCCACCAACTAACTTCAAAGCTATGCCCGGCACTGGCCTGGTTTGAATTATGGTCCCTTTTCTCCTACAAGTCTCCGAGCCGGAGGAGAAAGTGCCGGCCACTTCTGGATCTCATTAGGGGCAATTTTCTTATCTTTTCTCCATCGAAGGTTTGATCCCTCGAAAATATGACCTGGCAGGCGAGGCTCTGAAGAACAAGGTGCTGCCTTTGAGGCATGCTTTGTCCCAGGGGGCTCCCAAAGGGGAGCCTGAAGAAGAAAGGGGGGCCGCTGACCTTTCTTTCCTCAGCCGATGCCCAGGGAACCATAAATTGTAAACTTCAAAGTGCTACTTTAAAAAAAAAAAATCCTGAAACAATTTTCCCTTTCAAAGAAGCGACTAGAGCTTTAGAAGGCTCCTCGACACGGGATTATCATTTACACACTGGGCAGAACATTGGAGCAGACGGAGGAAGACGGAGGGGGAAGATTCACCCTAAAGGCTTCCCAGGCAGGTCAGAGGAGTAACTTCCATGGAGGGTGGACACAGCAGGGGCCTGGGCAGGGGCATTAGGGGTCAATGTTTGGGCCCAGGATCACAGAACTTCGGGTTCACTAAAAGACGTGGCCCAGTGGGGGCCATACAGGAGGTGGAGAGCAGGGCCTGGGGTAAGGGCAGGCCCAGTCACCTGGCTGAAAGGACTGGTATAAATGGAGAGCACCCCCTTCACTATCACCGAGACAGTTCATCCTCCTGCATCAGGGCCACCATGGGGCTGTCACGTGGCCCTGACCTGCAAACAGTGTCCACTAAGAGGATGGTCACCCCTTGGGCAGTGCTTGCCTCCCATGTCATTGGCACCTTACTTCCCAGTGCTTTGCAGAGGGCCGGGTTTCAGTGGGGTTAGCAGCACAGTACCAGTAGAATGCCTGACATCACCTTGTTCCCGAGTTCAGTTTTCACAGGTTTTCCAGTGTGTTGGGCAAGTTTGTAAGTGAAGCTGGTGTCAGAAATTACATTAGCACAGGGCAGAGGCATGAAGAGACACTGGAACTAGCCAAAGAGATCAGAGGAAAGTGGCCAGTGACAGCCATGGAGAAGCTTCTAAGGGCTGAATGATCGCTGTCTGCACAGAGTAGGCCTTGGGCTGAGCAGCAGACCTTTGTGATTTCATCAAATGAGCTTTCATCAAACGTCACTTCTAGGAGCTACTGAGTAGCTGGATGACCCATACTCACTGATTCAGCCTTTACCACACTGGACCACCTGCCTCTCCAGAGGAACTAGGACTAGGATCCTGCACCAAGATGAATGAGCAGAGGCTCAAGGTGCTGTTGGGTTATGCAGCATAGCCACAGAACACAAGGCAGAGTCCACATTAACTTACAGACGGGGTTCACTCACTAGAGACATATACACCTGCATACATACACCACATCCCCAGAGACAGTTACACAGGCATACATACACACAACCACAGATGTGTTGCATACACGTGTACAAAGTCATGTAGACAGGGACACAGACATGTGTACACAGGCCAGGACATAACCCTGTAGTCAGAGAGTCAGAGACGATCTCTGGAGGTAAAGCTCTGATCCTCAATGCAAGAATGCATCCCACGAGACTGAAGGCCCATCAGGCCCAGCCAGGAGCCTCTTGCTGCCCTGTAGATGGGAAAGCTGCCATGCTAAAACAGGAAAGGAGCAGGCCAGCCACACACTGCAGGAAGAACCATGGATGACAAAAGCAGCTGCTGTTGGAGCAACCGCCCTGCAGCCAGGCTCTAAGGGGCCAGAGCAGCACGCAGCACGGTGCACGGTGACAGCCACCTTGACTTTTATACAAATACAAACAGTTCATTTCCGTTCTCTGGCATCTCACAAAGGGTTTGTGGAAGACTGACAGAGGTAATGAAGTCTCTGAGATTTGCATCTCCAGTTTCCCTGATTCAGCACCTTCCCCCTTGCTGTCTACTACTGGGACCCAAAGAGGCTCCTGATACTTAACACAAGAAGGGAGGCAGGCAGTGAAGATGAATTCTAGACCTCCTCGTCTACTTGGCTGCCCCTGGGGTCAGAAGGACCAGTCTCTAAGGTGGGACAGTGGGGTACTCACCTGAAGGCTGCCAAGTACTCTGTGTCTCCCATGGGGGGTTCGAGGCCACCTGTGAAAGCCATGTTGACGTTGAAACCTACGCCTGGACCTGTGCCCACCTGTGGCCATAGGAGATAAGCTGTTGTCAGTGATGCTCTGAGCAGAGTATCTAACACAGTACCAGAAGTAGGGTTATGTTGGGGTGCTGGTGCCCACAGGAATTGCCATGTTCTCTGGACTCCCTGTGTGCTTGCTGGTGAACTGTTACAGCTCCAGGGCTGGGCACTGACGTCAGTGCTGCAAACCCTGAACTTGCAGGACTATCCTTTGTGCTTGGGCCACAGGAAGGGCCCACTCAGTCCCTCTCAAGACATTCCTGAGGACCTGCGTATCATATGCTCACAGCAATCTGCCCAGACCTTTGCTTGCAGAGGAAGGCAGGTTCTGTGTTTCTGGGCCTACCAGGCAGCACCAGCTACCAAGAGGACAGATGGGAGATGGGTGTGCTGCCCAAGGGTGCACCCCCGCAGATAGTGGCTGTGGTGTTGTCACAGGGCACAGAATAGTAAGCATCCTGGAGGAACAGCACTGGGAGCTTCCGCTGGCTCTGACTGAGACCAGAAATGGTGTATAGTCATTTTACCTTTGAAAATTCTGGTCCAAGTCCTGTATAGCAGCACCTGGAAGGGTGTTCCAGGCTGAAACAAGGCTGAAGTCCTGCTTCCGTGGCAGCCAGGTGCAGCCCACAGCTGCCCTGCCCTCCCCCAAGCACCTGCAAAGTCTTACATACTCTATTTACCTCATCTGGTGCGCCACTGCCTGGGAAGAAGTTCCCATCGTCATAGCGGTGCAGGGACATGTAGAGAACATTGGGGTCACTGTAGAAGGCCTGCTGAGTCCCGTTCCCATGGTGGACATCCTGAGAGACCAGGAAAGCAGGCTCAGGGAGGACCAGGTCTTGAGCATGGTCCTCACTGTCCAGCTATCCCCTCTGTGCCCTGGGGCAGCACCTCCCCGGTGGTCAACACTCTGGAACCTTTAGCAGGCTTGCAGCCTGACAGAGGTGGTCAAGGGCTATAGGGTACAGCATCATAGAGATACTGAGGCCAGAGCTAGAGTCAACAGTGCCTCTTTAACTCTGAGCACAAGGGTGCATCCCTGATTCCAGCGAAGAGGATGGGGCTGGGGTTCCATCAGCGCCAAGGCTGTGGTTTCCAATCATACCATCCAATCAATCTCTTGTGCCTGCCAGGTCTGGGGTATGTGAGCCATTTCCTCCCCCAAACAGGATAATCACTGTGGGCGGGCTACTTATAGACACATGTGAGGTGCTCCCCATCACACAAGGTGTATGGTAGATGAACCTCCTGGCTACAGAGGAGTCCAGGCCCCTACCCTGACATGGCCAGCTGCTTTCTTAGACACAATGCCTGACATGAACACCAGAGGGTTAGTAAAGGGAAGCTTCCGCCAGGCCTGGGGCTACTCTCACTGACCACAGGAAGTGGTCACCTGCACAGGCAGGCTGGGCAGCCCTGCTTTGCACAGTGACGTAGGGAGAGCCACTGCTGCTCTGTGGTGTTCTCTGCAGAGGTCATCGGTGCTTGGTGCAGGGAGTGGAAGTGAAGCCATGTGAGAGGCGCCCACCATCCCACTCACCAAGATCCCTGCTGAGGAGCCATGGGTCACCACTGTGCACAGTGAGTGTATCATAGCAGTGTCTACGTGGGTCATTGTGCAGCTACTACAGGTGTGGCCCTGGGAAGGCTCTGACTGGGACAGTGTCTACAAGGGTCATCTTTTGTCCCTAGGACATAACTGTCGTGTCTTTACTGCCATCAACAGCCCGGTACTTCTCTCTTTCCCTGAATTTCTGCTTCTTTTTTGAGGAAGGGTCGGGGGAGGTGAGGAGGGTAAGGAGGTGATGGGGGAGGCAACGGCTCCAGGTGCTTGGAAGACTGCTGCCTTTCCTGCCTCACTCAGGCCCTGTTCCAGATCCAGGAGCTGACTTGTGTCCTGGTTTATGATTTGTTATTTATTTCCTCACACCAAGGAGTTGAATCACAGCGATACTCATCTGGTATACCTGCTGCTTTTCCTTAAAAAGTAGAGCATGAGGTACCAGTACCAAAGAGAGCATGGTGTGTACAGCATGTCAGAGCCACTGACTTCACGCAGCTTTCCGCAAAGCACAGGTGTGCAAAACTGGGCCACCCACTCAGCCTGCTTGTCCTGGGACCCCTTCCTGGGGTCAGGACCAGGGTGGCTGATGCCTGCAGGACGCCTAGGCTCCTCTTTTCTTGTCCTGGTGCTTGTGACACTGAGGGACTGGGACTAAAAGTGTTTGACTTCTGAGGTTTCGGTTTAGCCATCAGTGAAGAATTAGCCATTCTGAGGCAGTGGGGTTGTAAGAAGTGGCACCTTACACAGAAGTGGGGGCTCTGAGCCAGTACAAGCCAGGCAATGAGGAGTCCCCCCAGAGTTATAGCTGGACATGGTCTCCAGGACTCCAACTGCCTGAGATCGTGCTGAGGACTGGCCTTCTGGGCACTATCTAGGCAGATCAGAGATGTGACAGGCAGAATCAGGTGGCCCAAGTCTTGAAGGCAACTTCTAAGGGGTGTAGGTTTTATTTTTCTGATCTCTAAAAGAGTTTCCAGAAAGTTCAGTTTCCAAGTGTTGATGGAGGTAAAGGCCCATCCTCCAGGCCTGCCAATAGGGAAACAGGTGGGCATGCATGGCTCTTCCCAGGCCCCTTGGGGAGGCAGGCCACTCACCCAGTCTACAATGAGGATCTTGCTCACGTTCAGCCTCTGCTGGAGAAGCTTGGCTGCAACTGCCACAGAGTTGAAGTAGCAGAACCCCCTGTGGGAGGGAAACAAAGGCTCATGGTCACCTGTTTTCACTGACTCGGGACACCCAGGGCCCCACGGTCTTCTGGAGCGCTCTGATGACGGCCAACTAGTTCCTGATACACTAACTGAAGACTTAACTGATGCTGCTGTGACTGCTAGTCACACAGGCAGACATACATGTGCCAGACCAGATATACACAGACCACACACACATACATGTGTGTGCGCACATGTGCTACCTAAGAGCCACTCGACTACATATGCCACATACTACAAATACACATGCAACTGATACACAGACATATAAGCACACAGGCACATAAGAGATCCACCCATCATATACACACCACAGATGAGCTACACACATTGTGACACACAACACACAGGCATATACAAACACACATACATTTACCACAGATACATACACAGGCAGACATGTACAGACATACCAGAGAGGTACACATATACACATGCACACACACTGAAGATATACAGACACTATTGGTCAAGATCTAATATCATCTGAGGACTATCTAGACTGGACTGGTCTCTGTGCATGCCTGTGAGGGATTATCTTGATTAGGTTAAAAAAGGTGGGAAGACCCACAATAAACACAGGTGGTACCATTCCCATGGGCTGGGGGCCTGGACTGAATCAGACAAAGCAAGCTGAGTCCCGGGACTCATTGCTCCCTCTGTCCCACTGCTTCTTGTCGAGTATTTTATCACAGCAACACATGACTAATACATACAGATAAATACACATGCACTCTGCTACACGGATGCATATACCATACATATACAAGTACAGGCATACACTACACAGATACAGACCTAGAGACAGGGGCACACCACGGATACAAACATGTATACAAATATGCAAACATACCACATGCACACAAATACACATACACAACACAAATACAGAGACATGGACATACCATAGATACACAAAAGCATATACACACCTCACATGGATGCACACACAGGAATACACTACAGATACCCACAGGTACATGTATATACACACATACATATGCCACACAGGTAAACACACACTAGACACCCACCCTCCAGTGCACAGACAAGCTCCCCCTGTAACACACAGCAGGAGCAAGCACACAGATCCTCTCCATTCGTGCTCAGAGAAATGAATGTCATTTGTTTGCATCACTGGCCCTTCACCCGCCCAGAACACTGAGGTCTTGGGGATGCCATGTCCACCGGGCAGCAGGTACCTGCTTTGGCTGCTTATTCTTATCTGCCCATTTCCAGATACACGACGACTTTACATACATGTACTCACTCCTGCGTTAGTGGAACTTTAGAACAACGTACTCAAAGGATCAAGAGAACAAGCTACGGAAGTGAACTGGAAAGCTGTGGTCTGTGTCTCTTTTCTCAGAAGTCCTGCTGGCCTGCTGAGCTCCACGTGGTGTGCGCTGGGAGCCCTCACAGCACCAGGCTCTGGAACTCAAAACCATACCCCGCCGGCTGCCGACACTACAGTGGATCTCCATCAAGATCCTTGCTGCACCGCGTGGGGGCTGAGCCCTACTGACCCTACCCCAGGTCTGTACCTGACGCAGATCTTATTAACAGTGCTGCATCTGGGATGAGTCACATTCCACCTTGCCCCAGGCCTCAGACATGCAGGTGGTCAGAGTGTCTAGATGCTGGCCTGTGGACGTGACTCTGCTGTGGCCTCGTCTGTACCTAACAGTCAGCAGCTCAGGTAAAGGTCACACAGGAAGTGGCTCATGCTTCTGACCCCAACTGCTGCACAGCAATGCAGTCATGCTAACCTGAAGGAGCACGCCCAGTGTCCTCTACCAAAGGTGACACGTTCGCTGGCTGACGCCCCGGGTGCCTTTCTCACGTCTCCCTCCAGAGCCATCTCTGTTAGGCCCACTGAGAAGCCAACAAGCTTCGGGGCTTACACTCCTCATCTGCCTTGTGGTTCTCAAACTGCATGTCTAAATGAGGGCAGGAACTGACACACCCTGCACAAGGTCTTTCAGCTCTTCCCGGGACCCTCAGATGCCCACCCAACCTTGTCACTCACGCTCCCTGTCCGCCTGCTGTGTCCACTCACATGGGTGTGCTCTCCTCGGCATGGTGTCCTGGAGGGCGAACCACAGCAAAGCCATTCTGTAGATGACAGCAGACAGTAGGGCACAATGAGATGTTTCGTATGTACAAACATTCAGTAGACTCAGAATCCATGGGAGGACATGGTTTCCCATGCCTCCCAACCCCATGACATGGATGGAACATGGCTGGCTGAGTCATGTAGGAAGCCTGGCTCCTTTCCTAAGGAGTCTGACTGGAAAGCCCTGTCTGAGGACAGACACCAAACCTGCTAGCTCTGTTTCCAAAGGATGTGGGCCAAGCCTACAGTCACTGCAAGGGGTGTGCCCACTGCTTGCCAGCAGCCTCATGGCAGACACACGGATAAAATAAAAAGAAGCTGTGCATGCTGTGCACGGCTGGAGCCCCAGGAGGGAACAGGAGCTCGACGCTAGTCTCAGCTACACTGCCAGGTTGAGGCTGACTTGGGCTACATGAGAGCTTCTCTCTCAGTCCTGAGAACAGAGGCAGCTGTGCTCATGCAGGTTGCTGACAGGCTACTGTCATGCCCCAGGACGTTGACATTATGCTCCAGGAGGTGTACTGCCCACCTCTGTCCTGACTGCAGCTTAGTGGAAAGCTCAGACGACACCCAATCCCACTCCCACCCAGAATCACTTCTAAGTTGGCACAGATGACATGGCTGCCTGGCTGTTCCCCATCGCTTACACCTTCTAGAACTCCAGAAACAATGATGGAACTGCTGCTGTGGTAATGGTCACCCAGGCCTCCTCCTCTCCCCAGCAACAGGAGTGGTGTGGTCAAGCTCTAAACTGAGCACAAAAGGGTTGGCCAACCCCTAACAACTGCTGGCATGATAAGTTGGCCACTCAGGACGGGACCAGGGCAGTGGTAAGGCTGAAGGGTAGACTCACATGGCAGATACTGCCCTGTCAGAGTCCATACTGCAAATTCGCTTCCGTATTCTTGTCCTGCACACTGTGATGAGTGCCTGGCCCTGGCTGCAGGCCTGGGCTTCTTAACAATCCTCAGGCTCCATTTGCCTCGTGCAATGAATGGAAAACCGTGCTGGCAGTGCAGCTGCCCAGCGTGGTGGGACTGCACTAGCGCTCACAAGGAGCACACGTGACCATCTGAGGGCCAGAGTTCCCCTGAAATGTCCCCATGAAGCGGCAAAGCTTCCACAGTACAAAGTCCCCACCTTCAGGTCCACAACTCTTAGCATCCCATGTTGAGTCAAGAAGAGAGGGTAGTGTTTCTAGGGCTGAGCCTAAGTGGGCTAGCTCCAGGATGCCTCTGTGTGATCTTGCTGTAAACTGAGGCAGACTCCCTTCCTTCACGGACATTTGTTTTCCTTGGAGGACAGAGGTAAGTGACGAGCATTCCAATTTGGGGAAATCTAAGACACTTCTCAAAAACTGAACAGGGCCTTTCATTTCCAAGAACAAGACAGGCAGGAGCTGTCCGTGGTAAGGCAGAGAGGCTGCGCCTGCCCCTCTGACCTGACAGTGACCCTGGCACAAGAAGGGGTCTCTCACAAGATGGGATGGCAGCATTCAAGGTTTCAGAAAACCTGATTTTCTGGCTAGGGTGCAATGAGCCACGACATGGGGTCTTAACTTTCTAAGTGCGGCCTGGTATGGTAAACACCCTGTGGTTGGGTGCTACACAACAGAAAGGAGGCCAAGGGGACTCTGACACACAGAACAGCCTAGCTGTGGCTCCAGGGCCCACACTACTCATTTTCAAGACCCGCCATGCACCAACACTGGCGTAGGTCAGAGTAGTTCTCCATTATCCACGAAGCCCACAGGAGGCTTGCTGTCCCTTGTCAGCCCCGATCTGCTCGAGGCCAGCAGCTCTTCACTAGTTTCATGTTGCTGCAAGGCAGGTGTGAATCCAGCTGCTGTCCATGATGCCAGATGCTACTGTTACTTGGGAATAAACACTTTGAAAACGTCTCAGTTTTAATTTCCCAGCAGATTCTTATTGCAGCAACAAAGGCTCGCTGGGTTCCTCAGCAACTAGGATGGGGTAAAGGGCTTCCCAACCCCGTCTCAGAATCTAAGCTACATTTTTTTAGCAGCATAGAAGCATCCACCTGTTATCCTGGACAGGGGCCACCTTGTACCAGTCCCCTCCACCCTCCATCAGAGGGAAATAGTGGTGGGCTGTCCCCTCGTCAAGCCCAACTCTGCAGAGCTCCAACTGACCACTGACCTTCAGCTCCCCCGTGGCTACTTTGAAGACCAGCTCCACCACACAGCCCACAGCCAGGCGGGCTGCTCCCGACGAGTGTACCTCATTCCAGATGGTGTCACTGTCCACCTGTGGAAACACCATTTCTCAGTGAGCCACATCCCCAACCGCTGTCACCACCACCCTGCGGGGCTGTATCTGGATCTCCCAAAGCCCCAGGATGCTAGGCTCTGCCCTTGAGCTGTACATGGGTCAGAGTCCCGTGCCAATTCTTTACCAGAGCAGATGCAGCCCATACGCAGATGTGCCAAAACATCAAACACAAAAACAAGAGTGCGTATCAGAAATATCACGCTTCCACCCTCTAGGGCATCCTTTCTCCTCGCTGCTTCAACTGACCTGGGCCTGACAGGAGGGATGCCAAGCTACTGAGTTCCTTACTTTTCTAAGTGCAACTGGAGCTAAGAGTTATGTCAATAAGCAGCAAAATGAAGAAGAAAAAGTATGATCAGCGGCTCTATTCTGTGCTGAGTTGAACTAAGAGCTCCTATTCTGGCCTGAGAGCAATTAAATGAGACTGGGGTAGGGGTGTGATGAGAACCACCATTTCCTTCCCAGGTGGTGGTCAGGTGGCCTGTTAGCTTCCACTTCAAACAGCAAGCAGGGTTAACCAGTTCACCGACTGGCTTGGGCACAGGAGAACATACTTAACAATATATATATTTTTAATTACATTTATTTATATGTGTGTCTTTGTGAAACAGCATAGGTGTGGATGTCAGAAGACACTTTGCAGAAGTCAGTTCTCTCCTTCTACCATGTGGGTCCCAGGGATTGGGTCATCAAACTTAGAAACAAGTGTCCTTACCTGCTGAGTCCAGGAGAATGTATTTTTAAGGTCTGGCTAGCAGGAGACCCACTACTGGGCTCTCAGGGAAGTCCTAGGCAGGGTGTGGAGGGCTGCAATGCATAGGGCATAGAAACAGCTGCCTGCAGTGTGTCCTCTGAGGCTATGTGGAACCTGGGCCAGATGCAGAGACTTAGGTCCTTCTTAAGTGCTCTGGGAAAGGTGGTGTGGCTGTGCCCTAACAAGCTATTTAGCTAAATCAGAGGTTTGCCAGATCTTCAAATGTGCCTCCTCTGAGCACCCTAGGAGTTCAGAACAGGAGGCAGACCTACAACCACCCCTCCTCATCTCCAACATCGGCCTACAAAGCCATCCTGCCACCTGACAGGCAGTGATCACACGGTATGGAGGGAGGGCTCTCTTTGCAGGCAGCCTGGAAGCTTCACTCTCAGCGAGAGAGATGATTTAAAATTCCCTTCTAGGGGTGAAGACATTCCTGAGGAGGGAGCTCAGTATAGGCTATTCTCTTCAACAGTCAAACTGCTGTTCTCTAAATAGCTTCCAAATGTCAAAAAAAGTTCATCTTGTAGGGCTGCTGGTGGCATCGATACCCAATGGTTAGGGACTGGCCTGCACTGTAAATACTGAAGGACCTCTGTGCAGACCGGCTCTGGCTACTTACACCAGCTGGAGAATCGAGTTATTACAATCAGCTCATTATAACCAAAGGCAGACAGACCAGGAGACACACTCTACCAGCTGTCCACCCTCTAGGGGGCAGCAGCGTCCCAGGCAGCCCAGGCCAGAGGCTGCATTCAGGAGGCCCTGGACTCAATGCTCATTTCCTTCCAAACGTGAGGAAGGAGCCTGGCTTTAGGAGCTCAGGTAAACCTTGGAGAAGGGATGATACGTGGCATTCACAATTCCACAGAGCTTTCTGTAGACTGCTATTCTGGCCATCACAGGGTAGGATCTGCAGCCTGGTCAAGCCCCTCCTAGAACAATCCCCAAGGCAGGCTCTTAGGCTGCTCTGAGACCTGACAGGACCCTCCTGTGTTTTGATCCAATGGCTTTTTGTTCACCAGCTGTGGCTCAGGCTTCAAATGGTACTGGGGGCGGCCCTGTTTAGTCAGGGTGGTGATGCTAATGCAGAGTGGGACCTACAGAAAAGAGCATTACAGGAGAGACAGAGGAAAGGGAAACACAGGAAGCATCAGAGAAATGGAAAATAGGTAACCGAGGGTGTGGTGAATTGGGGTGGGTGCTGTGAGGCAGGAGGCTTAAGCTGCAGGCAGGAGGGGCAGAGGACAGCACAGTCCAGACCACAATCCCAGGTGGGGCTGGAGGCAGGAGCAGAGAAACTCAAGGATACGAAGTCCTCATTAATTTGAAACTCGTAATAATGAGACGAGCAAAACAGAAGTTTCTTTTATTTGGTTTGAAAAAAAAAGGTCAAAATTTCAAATCTCTATCTAATAGAGCTAAGGCCAGCAGAATCTTAAACTCGGAAGGGATGGCTACAGTCTAAATGGTAACAGGGGATGGCTCTTGGGCATATGCCTCCTCATCCCATGCTGGCCTCAGTTCTCCCACAGCATCTGCACTGGCCCTCCTGACACTCCAGGGAGCTGGCTCTGGAAGGAACTGAGTCCTTGACCAAACCAGAGTGTCAGCCTGCTTTCCTGCTGCAGGCCCCATGGGAAAGGGCTTAAGATTCTTGCTTCCTTTTCTGGGTTGGGTCCCACAGGTTCCATTAGCAACTGTGTGCCCTGCATGTCTGCACCCTGCTGGTACGCTTGCTGTGTCTCAGATCTGGGGTTAGCACTGGAGAGGACTGCCTGGGTTCAACCCCCAGGTCTGAGCTCACATAGAGCCTTCATTTGCAAATTATAAATTCTGCCTTGCACAGGCCTGCTGTCTGCAGGGCAGTGCAAATCCAAATCTTTTCAAGTCTGGCCAAAAATTTGCCCCAAATTAAGAGATTGCAGCCTATTTACAATACAAAATAAAATAACTCTCAGAGGGCTTGGTGTGGCATGAATAAATGCCATTTATTCTCTTTCTGACGGGATAATTTTCAAAGCAGTGATTTCTGTAAAGACTCAGGAAGAAAACAATTTTGTTTCATTTCCATAACAGAATCCAGACCTCAGCTTCACCCCACGATCTGTGATCACACACAGACGGTACAGGTTGGCCGTGACAGCGCTTGGCTGCCTGCTGGCCCCACCCACACTGGCTTGTGATGGTCAGCAGACTGGCCAGGAAGCTTGGTCCCGTTTCATCCCAGAACTGCAGGACTGCTTGAGGGAGGCTGAGTGGGAGAGGTTAAGGCCTGCCCTATACAGGTGGATGGCTTGATGGGCAGTCAACTGCTACCTGTGTCCTAGCCTGCTCCACCAGTGACTAGGCTTCTCATACCACCTGCTTGTAGAAACCTGAGAGGCCGACACAGCCCAGTGAATATCTTACAAATGTCATGGGTCCATGGGTGACCTGGTTGCTGCACTGAAAAGTCTGTGTGGAGCGTCACGTTAGAAAGTGGACACAAACAAGCCCAGCCCACCCCAGGAAGCCTGTGACCTGCATGGACACAAGCACAGCACTGCTGGGACTGGGGAATGAGGTGCAGTCCACACACAGGGTGCAGCAGACATGTTGTCAGATGACCTTCCCCAAAGAAACATGCCCCCGAGTCTGGTGAAAAAATGCTCTCGGTTCCTTTGAAGGCCGACAAGGCACTGCCCGCCCCACAACCCTGTTTATGGAAAACACCTGGCAGCCATTAACCACTTAGAGGAGACCAAGGCAGTGATTTCTATGAGCACTGGGACTCTAAGAACAAACAGGACATTATCGACACATTAAAGAAATACTTACTCCGACACCACCACAAGGAAGCCTCACAAACATGGAGGTCAGTGAGCCTGTGGGAAGACGGAGAAGGTCAGAGGATGGGGCGGCATGGGCTCTGTGAGACATGGTACTGTGGCATCACGGAACCATCCTGCTTCCAAGGACTCTACTGCAAGCTCTAGGCACAGATTTGATGGCATCAGCAGCCATGAGACAGTTGCTCAGGCACTGGCAGGGTCTGGGAGCCCCAGGCTCAGCTCCATCTACTCCAGCCCCACTTACAAGACACTGCCCCTGGTTTCCCATAGTTCCATTTTCCATTCCTAATATGCCTCCAGGCTGTGTAGCTGCTGCAGACATCTCCAGCAGGGATGAAGGAAAGAGGCTACAAACTGAAGCCTCCAGAGAGCCTTCTGGACACCAAAGACATTCAGAGTAAGGAAAAGACAGGGCAGCCCCTCACTCATGGGACAGAACCACCCTGCTCCACAGTACTCATGCTTGCCCTCTCCAGGTGATGAAGGTGCTCCCAGGACGGGGATACCATGTTGGTCAAATGCAGATGACCAAGTTTGCTCCAGGTGGGCAAAGCCCAGGCTCTGACATGGCTCCCATCATTCAGAACTTAGACCGGGAGGCAATGCATGTTGCATTGGCTCCCAGAAGAGCACTGCTGCCCCTGGCTGCTGGTCCTTTGCCCCTTGTTCTGACTGGCCCAGCACTTCCCATGCTCCAGGAATCCCCATGCCTGCTACTGGCTGGATCTCAGAGGATCCGCAGGCAGTGTGATATCTGGACCAGGTAGGGCTGTGCCCACCTCTGGGAAGCCCACTTCCACCTCCTGCAGCTTGACTGACCGTAAGCACCTTGCTCCCTCTCTTGCTCTGGCAGTCCTTGGCCACCTGGTGATGTAAGCAGCAGCTGGGCTTTGAGAGAGTGGGGCCTGCCTGGACAGACTCCAGCCAGCAAAGCCTACCAGTGGCATGAGCTTGGTACATGGGAGGACAGTAGCTCCAGGATACTGGGAGGATTCCATGCTATGGTACCTGGGATGTGGCTCAGGAAGCCTCTGCTTAGAGCAAGATACACTTCACAGATGTCCCCAGTCAGGCCCGTCAAAACACTAGTGGACAGAGCTGACCTGGGTTCACTGCTTCAAGTTTCCCTACTCTGTAGAGGCCCCATGGTCTTCAATGAGGCTGGAGGCATGTCCTCTGCTGTGGTGCAATCACAGTGCTGCCCACATTCTAAGACTGGAGCAGTACACCAGTGCAGCACCACAAGGGCTGAGCCCCTCCCCGACAGGCAAAACCAGTCCCCGTTTAGTGGAGAGGCAAGCTGAGAGATAAGTGAGCCTGCTCCAAGCTGGTGTTCCCTTTGCAGCACTGAACCCCTGCTGCTGAGTGGCTGGCACGTCTGGGGGATGGATGACCTTGTCTACATTCTGGCTGGTATGTCCAGAGTGTGTGACCCGGCCTACTCCTGGCCTGCACCAGAGGCACAGAGGGACCGTGGACAGTGCGGGGACCAGGCTGCACTCACTGTGCCAACAGCACGCAGTGATCCCCAACTCTGCAGTTTCTGGAAGGTCAATACCCAAAGACCAGCTCGAGACCACCCTGCCCTTCTCCTGTCTCAACTGGCCAAGCACCCGGTCTGAGAGGTCCAGGGCTTGGTTCTTATTTGCATATACAAATATGGAAGGCAGAACAGCAGTACTAAATGCACATTGTCTTCAGCTGATTGGTATGCAGCAGGTACACACACTTTAAACTTTGCACACATGTGGCCTTACAGAAAGGGATCTTTATAGGGATAAAAGCTGGTCAGTAGGTCCATCCTTCTAAAAAAAATTATTTTTATTTATTATCATGTGTATGTGTGTATTGCCTTCATGTAGTGCAATGTCCGTGGAGGACAGAAGAGACTGTTGGATCCCCAGGAACTGGAGTTAACAGACAGTTGTTAGCTGCGATATGGGTGCTGGGATTTGACCCCAGGTCCTCTGCAAGAACAGCCAGTGTTCTTAACCGCTGAGCCATCTCTCTAGCCCCAAGTCCATCCTTCTGAGCACATAGGGAGCGGGGGGGGGGGGTGAGCAGGGCCTTGGAATAGGCTAAGGAGGAAAGTGTAGGTAGAAGCCTCATCAGCCTGCTTATTGCCTGCTCTTCCACAGCAGTCATGGGTCTGCTCCACACACTGAAGCCATAGCACAGAGCACCTGGCCTGTTACAAGGGCACTGCCATGGCCCCAAGGAAGCAGTGGGGCTGGGGTGATGCTGGAGTAGCTCTTTCCCTATCACTACCTATTCCAACACAGGAACAGCAGTGGTATGACATCAAGAGTTTGTTCCCACAGGTCGTGGTGGCCAGGGCTATGAGATTTCCCTTTGAAATGATCATCAACACTATCTACATGAAAGCTGTCTGTCATTGGACTATTTTCATGGCAGCAACAAAGGAAAAAGGAACTTCCTCAGATACTAACCAAGAAAACACACCATTGAGTGGGTGGCAGGGCCATGCTCTTGACAAGGAAATGCTTTGGTAACAGACTCCAGAGTCTTAAGTGTCCCCCTCACCAGCTGTCCCCAAGAGACCATTCTCTACAGTATCCTCCACCCTCAGCCTAGGCCGTAGCCTAGCTCTGGTGTCCATGGATTGGGGTCAATCATCTGAACCAGGCTGCAAAATCTTCCCGAAGCCTGGTCTGGACCTTAAACCACCTCCTCTGGTCTACTCAGCAGACTTCTGGCTGGTGTTTCGGGAAGGGGGTGGGGAGGGAAAGACCACCGGCTTGGCCTCTACAATCCTACCTTGCTGTTGGAGCCAGCCTTCCAGAGGCCTGCCAGCAACAGCTCCCTTGCCGGGGGCTCTACAGGCCTGTCCTGCTCCACAACCACCCCTGGCCAGGCTCTCTCCTTCCAGCACAGGTGCCACATGTCACCCTATTCCCTGGGATGGTGACTAGACCACAATGACCCCAGCCGCTTCAGTCAAGCTTGTCCATGTGGAATTTCACATTAATGAAGAACTACAGAGGGCTTTTGCACAAGGCATAGACATTTGTAGACTGGATTTAAAGAGAAAAGAAAAACCACAGTACTGTTTAAGCATCTAATTACAGATACATTAACAGAACTTGGGATGGCTGCTAACTATTACTATGTCTGAAGAACTTAGGGACTTTTAAAGTTTTCTGGTTAGGACAAAGCAGAAACTGAAACACGGTCCGGCATGGTGAGGAGGCGATGGACTAGGAACTGCCCCTTCGCTGTAAAAGTGCAGAGCCTAGTGGGAAGGAAAAGGTCACTGAGCGAGCGTCTCAGATGGGCACCACCTGCACGTAACGACAGTGTGTGACACCATAGTCACTGGCACCGCTGCTGGGAACAGGGATGTGTATGCTCTCAAACAAATGTGTAAGCACTCAAATGTCTAAGCACTCAAAGTGAGCCCACTGCTGGCCGTGAGCTGAGGACCAGCCTTCCAAGGGCACTTTCCTTACTCCACAGGACAGACACTGTCTAGCTACATACTTCTGTTCTGATAACCTGTCTTGAGCCTGGTTTGAAACTAGCTTAAGAACCTGGAAAATTCTCTTGTTGGTAATCTTGGCAGGTTGCGGCACAATGTGTCAGGAGAGTGTTTTCCTAGCCAACCCCATCCAGCTCTTGGGAAACAGAACCTGTTCTTCAACTCCCACTGGCTGTTGAAGTAGCACAGGAGATGGGCAAAGGCCCTGTTTCAATCTGGGATCAACACGCTGCCTCACCTGGTTGAGAGCATCCTAGGCACCAAGAGGTGGAGTGAGTAAAACTTGGGGGGTGGGCCCTGCTTATAGCCTAAGTCAACAGCATGTGGCACTTTGGTCACATCACCCCAGGCTGTCCTCCGAACCCTACTATGAGGGGTTGCCTCTGGGATGGGCCTTCTGCCTGCTTGGCAGATTCCTGCTTAGTCTCATTCAGGCCAGCAGAGTGTGTCCTCCAGTGGCTGAGGAAGAACGCATGAGGGATCAGACTCTGGGGCTGTAGAGGTCTCCGCTGTTCTGCTCCCCCTCCTGTCTGCCCAGTAGCTCGGCTGGGTGAAGACAAGAGGAGAACAGCTCGCGCTCATACCAGGTCCCTCCAAGGCCTTGCAGCACCTCATCTTGTCCTGCTGCTGGCTCTTTTGACTGCTCTGGTGCTGCATGCTATGGTCTTACGATGGCTGGTAAGCTGGCAAGAGGCACCCTGCAGTCCTAACATCAGCCCCACCCCTGCCCTCGCCACCTCCTTGACACCTCTGACAGGACCTGCGCCACAGCAGACCCCGGTCCTCTCCTTTTGCTGCCCTTGTGGGAGATCTCCTGTCTGTCCTCCAGCCCAGGGGATGGGCTCCTTTTGAACGTCCACATCCTCCCAGCATCCTGCACTTCCTTCTTTGCTGCTGTGCTCGATCACAGCATCTCCCTCCTCAAGATCACTCAGTACAGCTTTGGTCCCCTGGCTCCTTCCCCAGTCTCAGTCTCTAGCTGCCCAACAGGCACCGTTCAGGGAAACCTCATCCCCCTGCTATCTGTTCCTGACCAAGTGTGGCGTCCATGACAGCAGCTTAGGACTGGCAGTGGCTCAGAAGAGGGAGTCTAAAATGGGGGGATAGGGAGCAGAGAACTCCCCTGCTAGTGTCCTTTGGACTGCCTAAGCTCTTGAAGAGGGGTCTCCTGACTTCTGCTTGAGGATGAAGGTGATGGGAAGGCTGAGCTGGAGATGAGCTTGGTGCCCAGCTCAGGGACCCCTGCTGTGGGGCCATCAGCCCTGGTTCTGGCCCCACTGTCTGCAGACCTGGTATCTGAGCTGTTGGGGGTCTGTGAGGGTGAGCCAGGTAGGCTGGCTCTGCAGAGTGCACTCAGGAATCACACAGGGCCCCACGGAGTTTGCCGAAAGCCCACCTGTTCTGAATGGAGATCCTAGTGGTGAGGCAGAAGAAGCCTCCGCTAGCCAGTACTGGCCACACGGGGGAGGGGGCGTCTGCCTAGCAGGGTCAAGACAGCTTCCCAGTTTGCAGCCCATGATGATTACATGGCCAGGTCTGGGACTCTCCAGGCCTTGTCTCAGATTTACTCTTCTTTAAATGTCCTAGGAGTAGGGCAAGGGCTGGGCACCTGTGGCCTCAAGCATTCCCAATCCACCCCAGCACCCAGATTGTGGTTCTAGGTTCCTTTGCACCTGTGGTTTTCCTTAACGGGAGCACAAAGCCTGGGACTGGAGGCCATAGGGGCCGTGGGTTGGAAACATCTCATGGAGATCAAACCTGGTAGGGATGTAAGGAAGGACTCGAGTACCTAGAAGTTTCTTACTGTCCAGTTTCTGCCTGTTGAGCGGGTTTGTGCCATAGAGTAGTGTGTGGGCCTCCGAGTGCACCGTCTGCAGTTCCTCTAGTGTGGCCTTCCGTCCACGGATGCACTGTTGGGACACAAGGTGAGAGGACATCTCTGTAATGGCTGCCATCTCCACTTAGACAATGCCTTTGCCCCAAAGGAAACAGCTCGATGATAACAGGCACACGGTTACCGGGTTGTTACAGATGAAAACCAAACATCACCTATCACAGTTCTCTAAAATATTTTAAGATATTTTAGAAAGCTTGCATTTTAATCACACCTTTGAAAAACATTTAGAAAGATAATTCTAGCCTTCAACGTTTTACCCTTCACTCTCACAAAAATGATGAGCCAACAAATTACTTTGCTTTCTGACTGCCAGGATCTGGGCCTAAAACAGCAGGAACTGTCAGAGGTGGATGAGCTGCCTTCTGGGCTGCTCCTATGTACTCTCAACACCAGTTCACAGCAGCCTCCCTGTATGGTATACAGGGGTCTGTGCTTGCTTCGGGAGGTAACTGAATCTCTTGTCTGTCTGAAGTTTGAAACTTCATTAAGTAACTCCTGAGCCAGTTTCAGGTATCTAGAAATCAGCATAAAAGTGCCCACTCTTCAGCTGAGTTATGCACCTCACCTAGGACGACAGTGGTTTATGACACAAGACAAAGTCAGTATTTTATAGGGAAATGATTTCCTAGGGGTCCCCATCACTTAGGAGGCTGTTGCAGGGATCTGGTCTCTTGACCGCTTGTCCACTTGTCTAACAGAGAAGGAAAGGGCTGACTCAGCAGAGCTCAGTAGGGATGGCAGTGGCAGGTGCCCTGGTGTTCTGGGACTTCCTGTGGAGGCCATGTCTGCCATGAGTTCCTTAAGCCAGCTCTTCTCTATTAAGCCCTTTGATCGAGAAGAAAAGGTAGAGCCTTCTAACCATGGAAAGCAAGCTACCATCCCACCTACAACCTGGATCATTCCTTCTTAGGCAAGGTGGGAGGGATGCACACACTGCTGTCACCTGCTCTCACATCTCAACACTGCAGGAGGACACAGGGCAGCCAACACAGAGCCTATCTGTACAGAAAGCGAGTGGGCAAGGCTGTGCTTTGGGAAGCTGGAAGGCATCTGGCACAAGATGGCAGAAAGACCTAGGTTACGTCAGGGACTATGAGGGAAGGACAAGGCCATGTTCCCCTCTACACCTAGGGCCGGATCTGTAGATGAGGGCTTGAAGTACAACCATAACGATTTTCAATTAGACCAGAGGAAGAACTTCTAAAACAAGTGTTAGAACGAACCCTTATCAACACGAGAGAGAGGAGGAAAGACACAGGACCCACTTTGCAAGCTGTACAGGACACTTGGAGACACTCTCCCATCCCTGTCTTCTGTCTCTCCTTTCAGTGTTCTGCACAGTAGCCCACGGATGTGAAGCAGATGTCCCTGCCAGGGGGACCTGGGCTCTGTGTCATGGACCCTGAGCCCTCACTGGCCTATCTTCTCCTTCCTGTACCATGCCCACCGCATCCTGGAAGACGAAGAGAACTCGGTCTTGATGCAGACTCCGCTGAGGAATGGTGGGCCAGAGACCCAACCTGGCTTCCGGATCTCAGAAATTCTCTAGAGACTTCTAAGGGTCCTGTGTGAACGGCTGCTCCCTAGACATGTCTGTCTGAGCGTGTGCTCAGTAGCTGGGCCAACATGGTGTGGTCCTAGTCCTGCAGGATGGCCTCCCAGTAGAGGACGTGGGGCCTGAAGAGAGGACTTCCCATCTTAGTTCACGGTCCTCACGGGTGTGCTGAGCTCCAAGGAGCAATGCAAGGGCAGGAGCCCACCCACAAGGTCCTCACCCTGAGGTGCAGACCAGGCTCTAGTCTCAGTGTGGTAGTTGGGAGCCTGGAGGACAGTGCAGCACAATTGTTTGATTTCTCTGTCAGGCATCGACTCCAAAGATGACGTCCCAGGACCCAGGCTGCCAGCCAGATCACCCTGGGAGCCTGGGGTCAACATATACTCTTCTGGACACCACGAGGGGCAGCCATGGTAAGCTTTTCAGACTTGTGATTAGGGAGCGTTCATCCAGGGAACCTGTTGGTGCTTCTCTTGCCGTCACTGGTGCGAAGTCCCCTCCTGTCCCAGCCTGCCTCTCCCCAGGCTCTTACCACCTCTGCTCTGATCCTCTCTCACCTCACCTCTGCCCCTGGCTCAGACATGGCCAGTGCTTACCCCTGCCTTCACATGGGCAAAATGGAAGGTAAGGGGTCGCCCTGCTGTCCTGGAGCGTTTGCACTCTCACCCCTACCTGGCTCCATGTGCTTTCTTGGCTGCGATTCTGCCTCAGAGCCCTGTCTGAGTAGACTCTCCCAGGAGGGGCCAAGGGAGCAGCATTCATGAATGCTGGCAACAGAAGGGTGCCCCTGGGCAGCATCTGGATGGGGGGGCCGCTGGACCAGAGTTCGAGGAAAGAGGATTTTCCTCAAGGCTTGCGCATGCTGGACAATGCTGCCCCCTAGTGGTGTAGCATCCTGGCCATATTTCTGAAGCAGGTGCCTGAGGCCTTACCTCTCACAGTGTATTACTGCCTACCCAGACGGCCTTGAGGAGAGGGTGTGGCCTGATGTTGGACACCCCCAAACACACTGTATAATGAAAGTAAGTAAAGCATGCCGGGGTCATGTGAGCTCTTAGCTGACCTCAACTCTGAATGCGCCAGTATGTAAGGGAGGGGCAGGTAGGCTTACAGAGCAGAAATGGAAACCTCACTGCTCCAGGAGGTGCTTGCCAGTCCCTGATGGGAAACTTGAGCCCTAGCCTGTACCAATGTTCAGGCTGACTTGAGGAATAGACTGGGAAAGTTTCTCTAGTTGGGAAGAGGACACAGCAGGCTCTCCTGGCAGGCACTGAAGGTTACCGGTAATCCTGGAAGGCGGGTGCTGCCAGCCCTACTGCCCAGATGGGGCAAAGAAGCCTGCCCAAGGCCACCAGCTCCTGGGTACTGAGCCCTTGTCTCTGTGCCTGCACCACACAGGCCAGTCCCTCTTCCTCAGGGCTCAGAACCCCTGACTGCACAGGAACTGCACACTTGCTGGACCACCTGTGGAGAACCAGAAGTTCAACTCAATCTTGTTGAGCCTTCTGCCTGAGCCCAGCTCTGCTGTGGACTGGTGTGGGCCACACACTCGTTCCCACTAGCAGGTGGACCAGCCTTTCCGTCTGAGAACAATCACGGTAGCCAGGGAAACCGAAGACCAGTATCCAGAGACACACCACCAAGACCTCCCCACACAGCTTCTGGGGAGCATCCTGGGAAGTGACAGGGAGGAAGGCAAGGACAGCCATGGGAGTGAGCAAGGACAAGATTCATAAGCCCAGACATGCGGGTCTGAGGGCCACAGGACAGGTCCACAGCCTCCGCAGGGAAGATGCTAGTTTTAGGAAAGCAGTGGAAGACTCTGCCATGAAGGGAGGTGGTGTGTCCCAAAGGCTCATGGGAAGGAAGCTTTGCTCCAGTCCCCATTGTGGCTAACAGGAGCTCCACCACAAGAATAAGGCTGAGGTCTGTGTGACTGAATCGGTCCCCATATGAGCAGGCTGTCACAGAGAGAGGCAAGCCCACGCAGCAGTCTCCCTTCTGCTTTTCTGCCATGCTGGGGCACATAAGGGTAGTCTCAGCACATGCTGTTACCTTGGTTTAGACTCTCCAGTCACCACAACTGTGAGGCAAACAGACAACCCTTTTTGTTTTATGAAGTACAAGCCTCGGGTATTCTATCACAGCACAGAAGAGGTACCAAGACGGGCTTCTCAGAAGGCTTGCCGCAATGGGCACAGTGAGGGTGACGATGGGAAAATGCTGGGTAGTGTTTCCTTGGACCCTCCCCATTACCATATGAAAACTCAGACTGGCAGACACCACAAATGGAGGTTGGTGGTCACAACCAGGAGTAATCAAGGCAGCAGGGCACCCTCTGCACCCCATATACCTCACACTTGCCACGGAGGCCAGTCTCCTGCAGGCGGGACCAGATGCTCTGGATCCTCCCAGCATGCTCAGGATGGCTGTTGGTATTCCCGCAGGCGCACTGGTGTTTCAGCATCAGCGTGTCGTACACAAGGCCTGCAGCAGGGCAGGACTGAGGTCAGAATAGTACCAGCGTTGAGCCAGTCACCACCAGAAGGCAGCCCTGGGACAGAACACTCAAGAGAGAATGTATTCATCTCCAGTTTAAGTTCACCCACCCTCTTTCCCAGCTAAGCCCAGAGGACCTGGATAAGAGCAGAGCAAGGTTCCCAGCACCATCCAACACTCCAGCACAGGAAGACTAAGACTGCACCATTGGACCAAGTAATGGAGACAAAGATGAGAAGGTCAGACCATGCAGCACTGAGGTCTGGGTAGCTTTGGGGCTGTAATGACTTGTAGGAGTGAGAGGTGCTGGCCCTTCAAGGCCCAGGTCTATCTGATCAGGGGAACAAGCTCTGAATTAAGCAGGGCTGGTGGGTGGGAGCTGTCCAAGGTACTAACTATATGGTCCAGGCCAGCAAGAGCTTCTTGGCTCACTGATAGATACTTCAAAAGCAGCTGGTCATGGGAGAGGGGTGGTACACACAGACATCTTAACACAGGTCTACTGAAGATTGACACATGTGAATACAATTGGGGCTGGGCCTCATGTGTGAGCACATATGCAAACACGCCTATGTGAAATGAGCAGGTACATGAACACAGCTCAGGAAGCTGCTGACCACAGGAATGAGCCAGCAGCAACTGGCCCCACAGGGCCCAGTGACAGGAAGAGCTTTTCTGATCAGCTACAGAGGGGCACTGCACACTGTTCACATGCAAGCTGTCACCAAGGCATCATGACAGGATTTCCCTTATCTGACCTGCAGTCCTTTAAGGACACAGTGATTTCAGCAAAGGGTTCATGGAGAGGCCACTTGGTGGATTTTGTGAACTGCAATTTTAATTTCTAGATAGTTTTAGTTTCTAGAAAATTACTACTGAAACTTGTCTTTAAGTAGGATGTTTCCTTTTGAGACCTGAAAAGAACTTGGCCACCTTTACAGTGTGCAAGGAAACAAGACATTTTATGAGAATTGTGAGATGAAACCATTCTGGATTTACATAATCTTTCCTCCATATTCCACTAAAAATTAATAAAAACCAACAATATCACCATGAAAAGTCACCCCAGGTCCAGGCTTATCCCAACAGGGAAATTTTGGAAGCATCCCTCCTCCACGTGCTAGGTGGTATAGCCATCAGGGCATGCAGTCTGTAGTCTGTCCCTGTCTTTAGGCAACTCCTCTGCTGAGCTCACTCCAGACCTCTGGCAGCTTTCAGATATAAGCAAAGGTGCACCAGGAGACTTTCGACTCACGGGTGCAATGCCAGAAGGGAAGAGCGGTCAATGCCAGGCTAAGGAAAGCTTTCAGCTACCCAGTGCAACCACCATACAAGGGCATCACGGCAGCCCTGGGCAATGTTGCTATTGTAGGCTTGGTTTAGGGAGGGGATAAAACAGAAAAGATCAAGGTCACTATTCCTGCCCACAATAACCACAACAATGCAATGCCTTGCCAGTACACAGGTAGGACTCTCTCTGTAGAGAACAAGGGCTTTCTGAGCTTGTCCTAAGCCTCAGAACAGCAGCACTATGGTGGGCCCCTATGGCCAAGTATGGCTCTCAGGCCTGGCATGATGATGGGTGGCTGCTGCCTCGGCCTTTAAACAATGTGGCCTGGGCTCTGTCTAGGGCTCAGTTATAGACTGGCTCCCCTAACCTCTCATCAGGAAGTCTACAGCCCTGCTCCATGGCCAAGAAGCTGTGAGTTACCTGTGGTGAACCTTGGCTTGGTGGGGGGCTCCTGGACTGACATGGGGAAGGTAGCGGAGGCTGGGGAGGACTGTGCCCGGGACAGAGGTCTGTGGCTGCCAAACGACACAGGAATGCCAGCGGCCTCCATGGATGCCTGGTAGTTCCTTAGCTGGTGGATCCGTTGTTGCTCCAGCAGGAGAGCTTGCTATAGGGCAGGGAGGACAGCTATTAGTGGAAGGAACACCCATTCCCACCAGCCCTTGACACACACTACTTACCAGCCCTATGGACCACCGAGAGGAAGGGCCCCTCCACTCTGGGAGAGCTAGGTAGATGCACGCCTTCCCTCAAAGACAGCTGTGCTCAGGATAGGATCAGAGTGAAGAGGGCACAGCACCCCACCCCCCAGAGGATCTGCCATCCTCGAGGCCTTCAGGGAGGCACAGCCGAGGTGGGGCCGGGAGAGTACTGAGGAGGTACTGAGCAGTGGTGGAGGGCCTGGGACTGGGTGCTGGACAGGGTCAGGGTCTCCACTGGGAGGGTCACTCTGGCCAGACTGAAAACAGGACAGTGAGGACTGACTGCCGCTGCTCCACAGGTTCCCCTGGAAGTGACAGTGACTAATCTGTGCCAAGCTTAGGAGAGAGCTAAGAGCAGCCAAGAAGGGTCAGCACCATGTCGTCCTTCTGTATGTTTCTGCCCTGGCCTCTGACCACTCCAGCAGCCTCAGGCTAGAGGGCAGAACTGAGGAGAGATAAAGGGACATGCTCGGGGCTCAGGTGCCTGGGAGAGGATTGGGTTGGCCTGGGTACACTGTGCAGGAGGTAGAACCTGGCCAGCATATAGGGTCACCAGTCAGGAGCTGAACCACCCTGAGGGATATGGGACCTAGGAACTGGCTAAGGTACATGTTCCCAAGGGAAGTGAACAGGCTAGGCAGACTGAGGCAAGGAGGAGGTCTCCAAGGTTGGCCTGCCCAGAGGCCGCACCTTCTGTAGTTGTCAGAGGAAGCCACTCCCTAGGCCCCCAGACATAGCTGAAGAAGGAAACCATGCCATCCTATGCCACAGGCTGCCTTCAGGAGGAAGCTTCTCCACCTCTCTGCAGACCCTACCCCAAGTTCTAGCTTCTCCACCTCCCTGCAGACCCTACCCCAAGTTCTACCTGATGGATAAATCTTGTGGCCTTGGAAAAACCTGGCTCCTGATTAGCAGGGCCCAGCCTTGAGCTGTGAACAGAGGAGGGGAGCTTCACCCAGGTGCCATCATCCTCCTGCCCTTAGGCAGCAGGCAGACAAGAGTGAGGAGGGGAGCAGCAGAAATGGAGGACTCCTCATGGAGGAACAGTGCCTCTTGCGGGAGGATCAGGATTGTGCATGTGGAAGTGGAAAGCCCACAGATCCCCAGATAGCATCAGACCATGGGGCAAGTGACTCCTCTGTACCTTTCCACAAGTTGCTCTCTGTACCTGAGGTCTCCACTGAGGAGCTCGGCTGTCTATAATAACTGTGTCATGCTTGGCATGTTCCAAAGCCTTCTTCTAAAGTAAATATGGATCACTATGGGGCCTATGAGATGGATGCTGGCCCTGAGAGTAGCTACTGAAATACTGTGTGACGTACACCTGAATGGTGATGGCAGGCTGGACTTTAACGCGAGCACATAGGGGCTGACTTCTGCACAAAACTCTGAGGGCCCACTCCGGACATGAGAAGGACGTCCCTGTGGGCCCAGCAACCTGGGGCAGTGGGCAGTTCTGGCCACTTACTGTCCTGAGTGCTTGGCTGTAAGAGTCTCGGACTTGGCTACTCTCAGTTAATGCCACTGGACTTTAAAGAGCAGCGGTCAGTGTGAGGCATGCTAGTGTCTCCAGGATCGAATGGGCCACCTCTGCCAGAGACAGGAAAGCACCACAGAGCCAGCTGGCTTCTGGAAACGGACTGCAGGGCCTTCTCCCAGTAAAGACACTCTGGAGAATCTAAGCCATGTGTGTGCTGTGGCTGCTGTCAGGTGCTCCAGGGACCACCTTTAGCCCTTCATGAGAATGAAAGCCAGCAGGTGCTTGCTTGTGCACCTTGCTGCCCTGGTTTTCCCAAGTGCTGAGGATGGGCCGCAGCATCGGCGACACCTGGCCCTTGCAGGGCTGAGAAGGGGCTTGGCTGGGAGAATCCCAGAGTCTACTAGCAAGCAGGGAGGGGCGTACGGGTGAGCTACGCCCCAGATACCCAGGCACTGACACCACAGCTTGAGACACACCTGGAGCCCATTTCTCGGGTTCCCTGGTTCACTTGATACTTCAGAGGCAGAAGCAGCCTCCTGGCTTCTAATCTAGCTGTCTTTCTTTGGACACATGCCAGTTTTATCTCTCACTGGAAATTACTCACTGAACTTCATCAGTCTCTGGAAGTCTGGTTACTGTCATGTCATGCTAGCCTATCACTGGCTCTTCTGAAGGATGGTCACTAGAATGTGGCAACTTGAGTCCAAGGTCGCAGCATTTGATCAGACCCCCAACTACCTTCCTGATTAAGACCTCCATCTCCTTTTCTTCAGCTTTGGCGGTTAAACTGAATTCCACTGACACTTGTGTTCTGTGGAAATCTCTAGCCAGCAGACTTGAGGGAAAGGTGTGGGCCGTATGTTCGGGAGGGCAGATACACAAAAACTCTCAGAAGGCAGGCGTTCAGTCTGCATGCACACAAGAGAGCACAACAAACATCCCACCTCCCACACAGGCAGGAAGATGGCTGAGGCCAGGATGCTGAGGGCCTGTGGTCTACAGAGCACACTGCCCTGGATGCAACAGGAGGGAGCTGCCTGCCATCCCCATTCACACCTGTCTGAAGAGCAGCTCCTGCTCAGTGGGCGGACGCTGGCCAGGCTCTGCCTCCCGAGTGGGCTCCACCTCCTCCTCCTCACTTTCAATGGGCTCCTGTTTCACCTGCACACCGGTCAGCGAGGGCTCCTTCTGTGCTGGGAGTCGGTCTAGATAGGGCTCATCGAGCAGGGCCTGGTGCTCTCGGAGCTCCTCCTCTGTCTCCTCAGGGTGGCTCTCGGGCTGCCGGGGTGGTTCACTGGGCTTAGAGATCATCTGTAATGCAGAGAAAACAAAGTCATCTGACTGGAATATAGGTTCCTCCACACCCTACAGTTTAGGAATGCATCATCATCAAGGACCTGTGATGACTCAAGGCAAGTGCCATACCCATATGATAGAGACCTAGTACCATCTGAGGGGCACAGGAAATGATGCTAAGGGTCATGGTAACCTGGCCTGGGGACAGAGGCAGGTGTTCATGCTGTGCTTCCGTGTGTCAGGAACAGAGAAACTAGGTCAAGTTGCAGGTGTGTCAACTCAATGTGCAGAGGTGAGGGTGTGCAGGAGGCCAGTGCCTGCTGCCAGTCATTGAGCAACACCCTCCCCAGATGCCGTCTAGCAGCGGGAAGAGGACAGACACAGAGGCACATACCCAGTGCCACGCCACGAGAGGCCAAAATTGGACTGGGAAGGCCCAGAAGGAAATTCTCAGAAGGACCAATGGATTGAGCTGCTGGCCGATTTGTAAACTGAGGAAAACCCTCAACTGAAAGGCCCCCTCCCCTCAATATGCACAGGTCTGCCACCTGTGCAAAATGGTGCTGATGCACTGCAGAAGGTGCCAAGCTCTCCAGCTGGTTTTTAATGGAGGTTCCTCATGGTTATGGAGATGGGCTTGCCCTGACTCATGTTCTGACAGCCTGGCATGCCAGAGATCTTACTCCTAAGAGGGGTGGAAGGTGGAAATAGGAAGACACTAGCTAGACTGTCCTTACAGGATGGCCAAGTTCTAGGGATCCAATGCAGGTGTGGTGATAGTGGCATCTGGCCTGTATCTTAAGCATTCTGACCTTGTATATGCATACAATGGGGTGGCCTTGTAAAGCCCTGGATGTGTTAACTTGCACGGCTGAGATCACATCATGTTGTGTACATGTGCAGATCATCCCACTGTAAACACCCTCAAAAAAGTTAGGTGAAGCCCATGTCAAGTCAGTGAGCTGTCTTTAACAAAAGCACATTGGTAAGCATTGGTTCTGGGGTTGCTCCACAAGAGCCTCCATTCTGACAAGCAGAGGCTCTGACGCAATGTCCAGGGCTTCCCTAGGGCCCCTGCAGAGACATCCAGGTAACAGTCTCACTGGTGACAGAACGGGGTGCAATGGGATGGTAGCAGATTGAGACTCGGCCCTACAGGTCAGTGCTATGGGGAGGGGACAGAGCATCTTGAGATGCCCTAGAGGAAGCTCTCTGAAGGTGGCCTGGAATGCTAGGGAGTCATGCAGAGGGATGGGCAGGGCTGAAGAGGAGAGAGCAGGGGCAGCTGGGTGAGGCTGGGAACAACCCCAAAGAGCTGAAGGACACGGGAGCAAGTGAGGTCACAGCAGGACTATGAATAGACAGACCACAGGTCTTAGGACACGGGACAAGGGCCAAAAGGACTACCCCAATAGCCTGGGGTAAAGAGTAAGGGATGTTCAGGGTGTAGTCTGGCTAGAGATACTCAAGTGTGAGCACTGGGTCCAGGGTGTAGACCCACCAGGTGGAAATGTGAGCCTGGCATCCAGACGACAGGCCAGGACTGGGGTATCATCAGGAAGCACTAAAAAAGGCAGAGGTATTTAAAAAATATTGGACACACTTATAAGTAGACCACCCAAACCAATCCAAGCTCTCACATTCAAAACAGGGTAAGCAGGCACGGAGGTAGGCAAGTCAGCACTTTGCCTGCACAGGGATTAATCTTGTCAACCCAGAATTACTGCAAGAACTCCCTTCATTCAGTATGGGGAAGAGGTGCCGTCAATATCCTCTTTCCGTAGAAAGAGGAAGGCATGTTTTCTGAGTACAGCTTCCCACTTGATGCAAACAGGCCAAGATGAGATGGGTCTGTAGGTGGCAGAAAAACAAGGTGCTTTCCTACTAGATTGAGTGCTTAGCTTGGCCCTTGGACATTCCATGTTTTCTGGAAGGTCCCTTCCCTTCGCATGCCTCTATGAGGCACACTGATGTGGGCACAGCACTGAGAGCTGATACCCAGCCAGGAGCCTCCCTAACTCTGCAGGAAGGACACATAGGTAAGTCAGACAGCAGGCCTGCTCTACCCCTCAGCCTGGTGTGCACCTCAGAAAAACAAGAGTGGCCACAAAAGGCTGCTGAAAAGATACAGGAGGCCAACTGACTTGCTTCAGTGACATCTTGGAACAGGATGGATGAGCAGTAGCCAGGGAGCCCTGCCCTGGTACCTACTGGGTCAAGCAGGGCAGGGATGGCCCTAAGGGAGCAATGTACTCAGGGAATAGGGCAGAAACATGGGTGCCAGACACACACAGAGAAAGAACATCACTGTCTTCCCAGGTGCCCCAGGAAAACATTGTGTAAACGTTTCAATCAACTGTCATTTGCTACCATAAATCAATCACGTAACAAAATCCAGTGAGATTACCTGACTTCTAAATCACTCTTCAAGAATGTACCACATGTGAATGGGTGTTTCTAGTCTTCCTCAAACCTCCTACCAGATCACTCAGGCGGTGACATAATGAAATTAATAAGCCTAGGCTGGCATTAGAGAGACGGATGTGAAAGTGCTTTTGACACCTGGGAGTAGAAACATTTGCAGGCGCCTATCTCACCCCCGGCAATGCCTTTCCTGTGCAAACGATGGGATGTATGGGGTCCCCAATGTCTAACACAAGAGTGTCTGGGAGGAGGGGCTATGAGCTAAGGACCTGGCTAAGCAAGTGCTGGGCATGTGGTCTGTAGCAGCTTCCATGAGAAACAAGGCACCCAGGAAGTAACCTTGATCCAGGGCCTCTTAGCCTGAAGTAGACAGCATGGTGGGGTGGGTATGGACAGGAGCCCGTTGTCATCTCTCAGGGGATGGGTCTTTTCCCAGGCAGTCCCACTGTCCTGAGCATCTGTGAAATCAGGCCTCTGAAGACTCCCTTCTAGGTGGGAGGCAGGGACTTGACAGGGTCACTGGCCCCACTCTACACACACACTTCACCTTCCAGGCTAGCCTCTCCTCCAGCTTCTCCCCACCTTCCACAGGGAAGCCACAGAAGGACTGAAGTCTGAGAACAGGCAAAGCAGCCACGATGGGCATTCTCATCTCAGACCTCCTGTGGACAATGGATTTCTAAACACATTACATCGAAAGTCCCAAAGTAAGCAATTCCTAAGTCTGAAATCACACACTATTCTGTGTACCATTACAAAACCCTGCACTAACCCAACCCATCCACCCAGGATGGGATGTCCTTTGTGCAGTGTACCCATGCTGTATATGCTACTCTCCCAGTTGGTTAGGAGCCATCTTGGTTTGTGGTCTGGCTGCTGTCCACAGGGCTCAGTACTCTCCAGTTTCAAGCAGCGACTGGGTACCTGGTAACATAGCTTACTCCAGCTAACGGGACTAAATGTAATTTACAAATCCTAAAATTCACTTTTAAATTGAACAGTTTACCAGAGTTTTCTGTTTACAGAGCTGTGTAATCATCATTATAATCTAACTTGAGAACACTTTCATTATCCTTAAAAGCAAATGCTGTTCCCATTTCCTCACAAACTCCAGCTTCTGAGAACCACTACCTACTTATCTCTAAGGCTTTGTCTTTCTCACTTCCTGTGAATGAAATCATACAGCAGGACCATCTGTGACTGTTTACTCCCCTGACAGTCATGTTTTCAGGCCCATACATGGTACAGGACTCCACTATAAGCACAGGCATGTTCTGCTCACCTGTCACCACAGGGTGAACATGAGATGCTTAGCCCACTGCGTGGCTGCTATGAAGAACAAGGATGAGGGCTGCAGACAGGTGTCAAAAGAAATTTTCTCTTGGAGGACAGCTGCTAGGCTGATTGCAATGCACTCACCTGCCGTCAGCATTTGATGGGAGCGTACTGAGTTGCTCTGTTTCCCTGCGGCCCAGTACCACAGCACTAACTTTTTCTTTTCCCACCGCTCTAAAAATGGAGCTGAGGGACTCTGGACAATCTGTGGGCGCACCGATCTCTGCAAGCTGGCATGGTCCCAAACTACGACTCCCACTGGCAGGTGCCAGGTGACCTGAAAAGTGTGCTTCAGAGGCTTGATGCTGTTTTAAAGTAGGGGCCATAGGGTGGGGTTTACTTAAAGATGTACTTGGTAAATGATCTTAGAACCCAACCCAAAAGAACTGCCTGTGTGGACTGCCCTGGGCATCGGTGCAGAGGTTTCTTAGGATGTGGCCTGCTGAGCTTATACAGGTCCATGGGCTGTGGGAGGCTCTGTGCATCTGTCCACCAGCTTCACAAAGCACTACACCTCCCTGGACTCTGGGCTCCAGCACACGCTCTGTTGCTCCCCCTTCCCTGCCTCTGTCCATTCTGTCAGCAGAGCTAAGCAGGAAAGCAAGGCACAGGCCATCTGCTTGTGCCTGTGAGACCCACCTTGCTGAGGTGCAGCTGCTGCTGCTGGAACTGCTGCTTGTGCTTCTCCAGGAACTGCTGGTGCTGCTGCTGGATCACCAGGTGCTGCAGGGCCTGCGCGTTCTGCGGCAACGGTGCTGACTGTGTACGCCCCAGGGGGCGGTGCTGCCGCAGCTTGTGGATAGATGGGGACACCCTGTCTGCACCAACCAGGGACTGCGTGTGGAGGGGCAGTGCCCCCAGGCCTGAAAGATACCAGTCTGAAGATAATATGGAGGAAAAAACAGCAGAAGGGAAGAGGAAGAGAGGGGAGAGAAGCTGTTGAGTAACCAGTGGAGACGACGCACACCTGCCAGCCCAGGTGCCTTCTGTGACATAGGACCTGCCTGCAAACAAGGCCCAAGTCCGGCTAGAGGCCACAAGCCTGCAGCCTGGGCTCCAGGAGGTCAGAGAGTGTTATCAAGCAATGCCACCTTAAGAGTCTACCTAGGAGCTCTGCTAAGAGGGCTCCAGGAGGTGTGAATCAGGGTCTCTCCTGGGGCCAGCTGGCATGCCTTTCACAGGGGCTACTTCTCACACACACCCTGTTAGTGGCAGGAACAACAGCCTGCAGCCAACCTAACAAAACTCAGAAACGAACTGGCAGTGAGAGCCTGTCATGACCAAACGCCAAGCTGCCTTCCAGACCTTGGCCTTTATGGGGTCTACTTCACTTTGTACGAAACATAGTGGGTGCTGAGAGGGAAGGAAGAAGCCTTCCCCGGGGGCACCTGCCTGAGCTACAAGGGGCAGGCAAGCGAGGCAGACAGTCCATCATGCAGATGGCACAGGACGGTGGCTGCAGACAGGGGCAGAGAGAGGTTCAAAGCAGGGCAAAGGCCTTAGGGAAGAACAGTTGCTTCCATACCCTCCCTTGCTCAGTCTGTCTAGGAGGAAGAACCTGGAGTGAGGCTGGAGTCCATGAAAGGAGCTGGCCCCCATGCTAGCATGAGCAACCAAGAAAGATCCTGAATCAAAGCAATAATAAAAAAAAAAAACAACAAAAACTGACCCAAACCAGAAGCAACTGCTTCAACCAGAAGACCAACTCCCACTGGGTGCCAGTGCTGCCCTGTGGGAACAGCCTTTTCACCTCATCCACAGACGGAAGACGAGGCCCAGAGTGGCTTCCTAGAGGAACAGAGAGGAAGGGGTCCAAGTACAGCTAGAGACCCACAGTCCTGCAAAGCTGCACTCCAGGGCCAGCGCAGGAGGCATCCACGTTGCAGAGGACGCCCACATTCAGAAATACTACTCCCACCCAGAGTGGACACTACTCCCGCCCAGAGTGGTGACTGGGAAGAGCCAAGTGCACAGGGGATGAAAAGCCCAGGACAGGAACACACCACACTCCACCGGAAACCTGTCCAGCCCATGCATACCAGGACACGCCAGACCAGGCTGAGGCAGGCTCCAGGGAAAGTGGAGCACGCAGGAGGCCACTCTGGCTGCTAATTCTGAGTGAGTCAATAAGTGTGAGGAAGCCACTCACTGAGCTAAAGATGGTGTAGGAACGGGGACAGTCCCCATGGGGTAGGCTTCTCGTCTCACAGGAAACACTGCACACACCTTGCATTTTCATAATGCTGCCACTATGCAAATTTCACAACAAATTTCCTATCTTTCCCTAACTTGTATTTTTCTAAACATAACTATCCTGAGGTGAAGTGTAAAATGTTGGCTGCAAACAGCAATCAATGATCTGCCTGGGTCAATTCTGGGCTTCTGACACTTGCTTCCCTAAGTTGCAGGGAAACTTGTCAGAGGAAAGGCAGGAAACTAAGCCAAGGGGCACCAGCCCCGACTTCCACTTCTTGGCCAGCTTTCCGAGCGAGACTTAGGTTCTTGCTACAGCTGAGGTACCTTATCACATGATAGGCAGGGTAACTGACATGTGGACATACATGTTCTTTCCGGCCTTCTGGAAAGCTACATGAAACCAAAGGGTCTGGCCCAACTGCCCAGAGCCCTGGCCATGGCCTGTGGTGCTCACCTGTGACAAGGGGTGTCTGAGTGGGTGGCTGTTCCAGCAGGACCATGTGCTGCAGAAGGGGACTGTGAGCTGCCCCGCCATCCCGCTCCAGGGGTGAGGTGCTCAGGTACGGGGTTAGGTGAGTGCCGGGAAACAAGGAGATGCGCTGCTGGAGAGCCGGGAGAGCTAGCCTCTCGGCATCCTGCTGGCCTGCTGCACCCTGAAAAGCACAGCCAGGGGCATTCAGGACGTGGGGCTGCCACACAACCACCCACAGCATGCAGATCCAGAAGGCCAACTTACAGCAGAAGGGCCAGTGGCAGGAAGTCCCAAGGTGATGTTGGGCAAGGAAGGCGATGTGTAGAGAGGGAGCGGGGCGACTGAGCCTTCTCGAGTCACAAGTCTGTGCGCCAAGCTGGTCTGCGGACAGAAGACACCAGGACCTCAGAGTCTGTCACAGCTGTTCAAACACTCAAGGACTGCACAGAGCACTCAAAGCAGAAGGAGCTGATGTGTGGACACCCTGGTGCAGAAACAGGGTGCAGAGACTGTAGTGTCCAGGTGAGTCTATGTCTTACAGCACGCAACAAGTAGGGAAACAGGGCGCATGGCTCCTGAGTGTGTCCCTCCTAACAAGTTCTTTTGGCACTTTGGTTATTTTTATTTAATTTGCTTACTTACCATATAACTGTCAGAAGGAGTTAAGAATAACACATTTAAAATGTATTTTGGTATTGAGGGATCTTGTTCCAAGAGTGACATCAAAAGTAGACACCAAAGAGAAAGTTATTGATGAGCAGGAAGAGAACAGCGACAGAACTGCAGTGTCCAGGGGAACAAAGACTGAAAGACAAACAGCTTGTCAACGTGAGAGCAAACATGAAGGACAGAGCTCATGTCAAGGGGAATGAGAAACAGCTCAGCTTCATCACAGACTGAAAACTTATTTACCAATTCATCAAATTGGCAGACTTTCTAAAAGCCCAGAAACACAGAAACATGTGGCCATGAGATTATAAACTGCTGTGCTTTCCGCAGACTGGTCTGGCAATCTTTGTTGGAAGCCTTAAAGGTTGAATTAAAAACAGTCTAAGGAAATCCTGAGTACATGAGGACTTGGCTACATGGCTATTCAGGCAGCAGCATGATGATCACAGTACATCAGTCATCATTAAAAGAACACGGGCATGTGCACCTCAGGACTCGGAGGTCAGGGACACCTGATGAAGACAGCAGGGGCGCCGTGCCACCTGGGCCTGTGGAGGGTCTGTGGGGCAAGGCCAGGGGGGCTGGTGTGAATATGCTGTCAAGTCTTTCTGCTGGTAGAACAGGTCAGGCCTTGCCAAAAAGACAACATCTTCTGACCATTATCCCCATGTGCACACTGGATGAGCAGTGTGTACCCTCATCCATGTACATGAGGGTACAGGGATGCTAGTTCATGGTGTGAGGCAGGTAGATGACAGCAGAGCAGGTGATCTTTATCAGGAACACAAACTCTCATTTCCTCTTAGTTGTCACAATGGAACATATGATTAAGGCTAAGAAACAATTTTAGCATATTAAAATTTCATTCCCAAGACAACACAGGTGGTCATGAACAACAGTGACCTGTTTGATTCTGGCTGGAAAACTTTTTCCTTCTTGCTGGGGGATGGGTGGCCAGTGTTAAAGGGCTCACATCAGAGACAGGGCCTATCTGACCTTCAAGATGCCTGGAGGAACCAGCATTTTACCCACTGCCTCAGGGATGTGAAGCCAGGCATGGAGGAGATCTGCCTCCCCTGTGTCACTTGCCCCAGAGCAAGCATTTCTGTCACCAAGAGGTTTGCTTACCAAGTTCACACATACACAGTCGAAGTAATGGTTAAAGGGTTTCTTGGAAATGTGCTTTTCTAAGACTGTGGGGGCGGGGGTGTTAAAAGTACTTGTAAGTCGTAATTCAGATGCTTGGACCATCCCAGAAAGCAGGGCTTACTGCAGGTTGTTAGCTGGGAACAAAATAAACAGAGCTTCTGATGTCTGCAAAGGTGCGTCTCCTCTACCACTAAGGTGCCTGGTTAGCTGGTTTACTGGTGGAACTAAAGCAGTCTTCTGAGCCTTGGTTGGCTATGTCCAATGCTTGCATAAGGAACGGGTCACTCATGTGGTATCTGCTATTTCCAGGTAGAACACATTGGGAGCTTGCAGCAGGATGGGCACGTGAGCTTCCTGGGACCTCGGAGATCCCTTTGGGAGTCAGTGTCTATGGCTAGAGCCTGCTTACACCCGAGCATGAGCGTGTGCAGCCTGCGACGGGATGGTGTGGTGGCTACCTACCCTACGGAGTTTGCTCCCCATAGAGAGGCCTTCAGGACAATGGTGCTTCCACACGGGCCCTGCCACACCTCGTCCAGTCATGGCCAAGCCTTGGTCACGGGACTCATCCAATTATCTATCCACAAGGGATGTCTGCATGACTGAATATTCCAACACCAGCTCTGATGTGATGATGGATGCCTGATGTGAAACCCAGCAGTCTTACTGTTTATAATTCTTGGGAACCTTCTGAATGTTCTGTTAATTTGTGGTAGATTAATTTACGTGTTATAAGATTTTTAAAAACTAGCATACAACTTACAGTGGAACAATACAGATCCACCCATGATGCATCTAACTGCCCACATCACATAAGTATCTGGGCCCACAACCAAGGAGGATCTGGAGTCACTATTCCAGGGCAGGAAGTCGTTTGGTGGTTGTATACCGAAGCTAATTACAGGTGGATCTTAGTTATGACCTCAGTCCTACAGAGGACTTCAAACTCAGCAACCTAAGAAAGTACTTGAGCTAAACGTATAAAAAGTATAAGTAACTAACAGGTCTAGGAAAAGAACCAGAGGAGTGGAGTAGTGTCCGGGAGCCGCAGCGTCTAGGACCCTTGTTTCTACAGAACTTCCTATACAGGGAGAAGCTAGAAATTAAAAATGGAAATGCCAAGTGCCATGTCTGTGCATCTCACCTTACAAGGGAAAGCCTCTCCTGTAGTTACAGGTGCTCAGGAAGCTTCTCACTCAGTGCACTCAAGACAGCAGTTCTGTCCCACCCTGGTCCCTGGGCACTACCACTGCTGAGAGAGGACACTCTTCCCACCAGGAAGGCTTGCGCTTGCCTCCCACCTCCTTGGGAAACTTGTGAAGCAGCCTTTACTGTGACTGGTGCTCCATCCTGGGCTAGACACGGGGCCACTGGTGCTTAGAGAGTGAGGGAAGGTGTGCAGTGAGTGCAGGTGCTGGGGCCTTCTGTTCTGGAAAGTCCCCTCGGACCCTTCTCCTCTGCTCCATCCTTCCCTGCTCCAGTGGTGCCCACCAATGACATTCAGCCCCTGGCACTTGTTTTTTAACTGATTATCTCCCAAGTGCCTCTTCCCACTCCACACATTCCTACATGGCCACTGCTTGCCTAGGTGCCAAGGCTAGCCTGCTGACAGTCTGCATGACGACAGCTGCTCTGTGACATACCTGGGGAGAGATGAGGGGAAGGCAGGCTGGAAGCTCCCGATAGCACAGGAACTAACACCCTCGTGTTCTGGGGAGACTGATGAGGGGAAAGACAGGGTAACGCCTGGAAGGTCCTCCCCAGGCTGACCGCCCCCGTGCCTGGCCCCTCACTGGACAGTTAGGTGCAAAGCAAGTACAGGCAAGGGCACTTGGCGTGGGGGAGTCCTGTGACAGGCCCTGGTGCACTGACCTCGGCTGGAACACTGGGTACGGTGGGTGCAATGCCGTTTTCAGTGCTGACGTTGCCAGAGCTGCTGTTGGGAGAGCTGGGACCGGAGCCAGGGGCACTGCTGCACGCTGAGTCTGCAGATGAAAGACAGCAGTTGGGCATGGGTGGACACGGAGGGCTGTGCTTGCAGGTGCAGCTGTGGGTGGTCTCCCTGGGTTTCTGATTGCTAGCCTCCTGGCAGGCAAAAAGCCTGGCCAGAAAGAACGGGGCATGGTTTCAAAGCAAGGACGGTGACCCAATTCATCCTTTCTCAGTTTTGCAACTGACCTCCCATAAGCCAGCAAAGCTGTAGCTCTGTGTAGTGTGGGTGAGCCTCTCAGGATGTGCACAGTATGCCCGTCATAGCTCTTTTGAATTTCAAGATGATTGGAAACATCAGAAAGGCAAGCCCTTAAACATTAACATTCTAACAAAAGACCAGTGAACACAGAGGCCCAATGACTTTAACAATGAAAGGTCAAATTCACTGTGTCTTCATAAAAGCAATTTCACACTAAAGCGACCTACCCTGAGTGTCAGAGTTTACAGCAGTCCTCTCACTGTACTGTGAACATCAACCATCAGGAAGCACAGCCATCACTGCTCAGGTTCACTGGCATTACCTGGGCCACTCATACATGAGAGTTTATTTGCATGCCTTGAGGTTGAACCTGCCCAGTGGGCCACTCGGGCTCCTGGCAGGGGGCTGGCTGCTGAAAGCTCCAACTGCAGGGCGGGCCGTTCTGTGCTCACCAGGCCTACAGGTATCTGCTGAGAGTTCCACGTCTGGCCCAGGTGCGTTTTGAGAATGGCATCATCCAGGTGAAACTTCTCAGACACACACATGAACTGATTTCCTGCAAAGTCCAGGTGTCTATCCTTTAGCAGCACTGAGAAGTCAGAGTCCAGCCTCAAACCTGCACAGTGGGTCCAACTGAAGGGCTCATGGGCACCTTCCTCCACAGAGCACAGGCACATGCTTGCCTGACTCACATGGCTCCCTTGTGGCACAGCAGATTCTGAAAACACTACAAATGTGACCCTGAGCAACATGGGGAGGGAGGTGTGAGGACAGGCGCATCTAGGGCGAGTGGAGGGAGCCTTTGTGAGTTCCAACGAGGGCTCCTTTGACCCCACAGCACAGAAGATAAAATGGCATCTAGCAGTGATTTCACTTGATCCAGACTTGAGCACACAAGGGAAACACATCCCCATGTTAATCCTGGCAGATGGGGAAGGCTTGTTCATGGACCAGGTGCTCCACTAGGCACCTTTCCCTGTATCTGACTCCTATTCCAAACTACCTCCAGTGCTCCTGGGGGCCGAGCTTGCAGTGAGCACTGACTATGATCACAGAACTGGGTCTCCCCTTCCGCTGTCCCTCTCTTCCAAATGCCAACTGTAGATCTGGCTCAGTCTGGAGCTACTGTGTTTCCTACACTTCACCAGCTGGGAGCTCAAGAGCCCATCTGAGCTGAGTGGGTGCTTACGATTCACTCTCCAACACATGTGCTTTCTTCCGCCTCCTCTCTGTCCCTGCGGTCACAGTGCCCAGAGTAGTCACCATGTCCCACCTCGGACCCTGTTCCCTGCTGCTGTGGCCGGTCTATCTTGAGCTACATACCAGGTCTTGGCAAGTCCTCCTTAGAACCATGCTCACAGCAGGTCTTCAGACAAACACTCACCTATGTGCTGCATTGTGGGGCAACAAAAAAGTGGGCATGATTTTCACTACCTTAATGAAGTGATGTTAGTGCTTTGTTCATCCCGTTTCCAAGAAATAAACACACGCACAGCCGTTCTGTTATTTACATCAGCAAAATGAGATGGTCATTAAGGTGTCAAGAGCATCTGTGGTAGTTACCAAGTGAAAAGGTTACATGGCTGTATAGTAAGAGGCCTGTGTTCAACTGTGTCTGTGGGGGGCAGGGGCACATACACAATGAGGAGCACAGGAGGAAGGGGACTGTTGTAAACCCTGATTTCCAGGCAGTACATGAGTCCCTTTGTGCTCTCCACCCAGCATGGCCTTCAACAGCAGTAGAGAAAGAGTATGAACCTGCTTTGTCTCCTAGCCATTTCAGTCCTCCATGCGGGGTGTGGGTCTCCTCTGTTCAAGGACCTTCTCTGCCTCCTCAGCAGGAGGTGCCCTCATTCTACTTGGGGCAGCCCTTGCTAGAGTCCCTTTCTAGCTGTTGCCTGGAAATAGCTCTACCCAGAGCACATCCACTGCTCTGACTGCCCAGGTGGCTGAGCTGACCTGGGGCGCACAGCTCTCTCTCTCTCAGCTTTACTTCCCATCAAGCTACAGCTCAGAGCCACCTTCTTCACAATTCCACCCCCAGTCTAACAGACTCCCATCCAATATAGATCAGTACTACCTGTCCTGTCATGCTGGCCTCCCAGGCCGACTCCCTCTGATGGCTTCGTGCCTTGATTAGACAGCAAGCTCCCAGAAAGCAAGCAGCTCCCGTCAGTGCCCAGCCTAGTCCTGGCTCTCAATAAGTATTAAGCAGTCTCTGGAGTGGCGTGGCTCTCAGTCGCCTGCCGAAGACCCTGTCTCATGAATCGTCTTGTCAGCAAGAGCGCAGAGCCAATACCTGTGCAAGGATGGGCCCATGCCAGGTGTTGCCATGGGGCATCCAGGCTGCACATCAGTGTCAACAGTTTCCTTTCTCATGCCCCTAACTCCAACTGAATTCTCCAGTGAGGGAGACAAGTGAGTGCAGGCTGTAGCACTTCTTGGTCTCTCTAAACAAGGGGGTTCTAAAGAACAAGCAGAGGACAGAAAGCTGCATGGGAAGACGACTATGGCGAGCAGAAGCTCCCCAGGCACACAAGTGGCAGGGTCTCTGCACAAACCCAAGAACTGCAAGTCAGTTCTGAAGCAAGGGTTCACACCAGCCAGACAATCCCACAATGCATGTAGCATGGAACAGGTTGGCCCTGTAGACAGAAGGCCAGGTATGTGACACCTCATTACTTGCTCTAAGGGATAGAGGTACAGGAGCCCTTTTGTTCTGTGGGACATCGGCACATTCACTGAAATGGACTGGAACCAGCTGGGCAGGAGCCACTCACAGAACAACCAGAGCCATGGCCTTCAAAACTCAAGCTCAAGGTCTGGGCCTCCCTGCAGGTTGGCTCTGAGCCATCGTTCTCCTAGGTATTCAGACTGAAGGAGTCATGGAAGTGCACCTTGGGGTGACGGGGTGAGCCCTGGGTGAGAAATGCTGGAAGGAAGCCCCTATGGAACTGAGGTACAGCCAGCAGGGCTCTGCTGAGTCCTGTTGCTTCTCGGCCACCAGGGGGGGCCAGTACCAGCAAGCTCATTCAAGTGGAACTAGCTGAGCACCTTGCTCTTCCTCTGCTCAGCTGGGCACATTCTGGAAGGCTCTGAGGCCCCATGATGCTTGTGGGCAGTAGAGAGTAGGTAGGAATACACCATCACCACTAAAGGACAGGGTCCCTTCAAATCCACCTTCACAGAATCCATTAGAATGACCCCAAGATGCCATGCCAGGTGCTCACCTAGGCCCAATGGCAGCCCTCTGGGGAAATGAACCAAGCAGCGGGACCTGCCCAGCACTCCATGTCCGTCCACCTCTAGGAGGCTGTGCCTCCTGTATGCAGTGCCACTGAACATGACTGCACAGGGAACTGTGAGGGGCTGACACATTTGTTCAGAGGGGCCAGAGTACAGGGGACAGAAGGCTGGGCTTACCTGCTCCTTGACATACCTGTGACATCCAGGGGACGCTTTTTTAGAGCAGTGACCATGGGGCCATCTTTCCTGCGCAACAGGGGGCTACTCCGTCTCTCAGCCACTTTCTGCTTAAGCCTGGACCGTAATTTCAGGTTGGGTTCGGAAGCTGCATGAAAGGAGACATTGTTACTGCTAGGCAGGCACAGGCGGGGTCAAGGTATCACACTGCAGTTTAAATACGGGATAGCTTTCCAGCATGGAATGGAAGGCAGGGCTCTGTGGACTAGTGGGCTCGGGCCTTCTGTTAGTCCTGCTAGAGGATACAGTGTCTCTGAGTGACCAGGGCTATGTGCGTGCTGCCATGCCACAGTAATGATGTGCCATGATGGACCAGCAGATGAGAACTAAGATTGCCATTTGCTTTACTGTGCAGAGCAGAAAACCAATGCCATGGACTTCCCTCAATGAGGAGGCCTCACCTACAACTTCACAGTGGGGCTGCTCTGAAATCTGAGGAAATCTGACAGCAGGTGCCCTTCAGGGCCACCAACCATGGTATTGTTACAGCTTCTAAATCACAGGCTTTCCTGTTCGCCTGCAGACACCTGCATCTCACAGTCCAGGCGCAGATGCTAGCTCCAGATCCCAGCAGCCTCTGTGAAGATCAACTGAGGCTCGGAAGCTGTTCTCAGCACCCAGGTGCTGGTCAAAGCCTGTCTCCCTCTGCTAGCACTGGCTAAAGGCACAGCCGGGGGTGGGAGCCTGGTTTGGTTTTAGAAAACAGCTCTCCTCTGCAAAGGGAACCATGTGAGGACCTGCACCTATGAGCCTGTGATGGGTTTCCACCCTCTGCACCAAAGTGCGGACTCATTTTGTTCCAGCTGCTGAGTGGCAGTCCAGTGAGCCACCCTGCTGGAAGAGGCATGGGACTCTGCAGTAATCTGCTTCCAGAGGCCAGGACAGCCTGGGAGTGCCCAGACAGCGGAGGCAGCCATGCCATAGCCTCTTGGGTCTGTCTTGACTCTCAAGCTTGAGCTACGTGGAGATGTATGAGTTAGTGAGATGCCACCTCAGTTTCTCCGAATCCTGGAAGGAGAAATCTCTACTTCTGATGGCACCCCCTGGAGATCAGGAGGTGGGTTCTGAGGAGGCCTAGGGAGCTTCTCCCCTGGTCTGGAATATGTGGGAAATTCGGAATCTTCTCTTTTGGAAAGAGGCTAGGAGACAAATGAGATTTTGGGGCAGGGCTGGGTGAAGTCAAGGCAGGCTGGGCTTGGTGACTTCACGAGGAGGAAGAGAAACCTAAACTGACCCGCTGCTGCCGAAACAAGGTCATGTTATGACCCTGAAGGAAGACCCTCCCTGGGGCAGAGCGCATGCTGGATCCTGCTTGTGGACTTTCTACCTTCTAGAACAACGAGCCAGGTAAACTCCTAATTCCTTATATGTTTTCTGGTCTTGAGGATTTTGTTACAGCAACAGAAAATGGAGGATGAGCACACACTGCAGGAAGGCACCTGTCAATCAGGGCGTGTCAGTGAGCCAATCAAGTCTTGGCACACCTCATCCTTTGTGACTGTGTTGGAAAGTACACTTTGTGTCTTTAAAGAGGCCTAGAGACCAGAGGGGTCATTCCTGAGGCTGTCCAGAAGCAGTGGGATGGGACCCCAGGCAGAATTCTGGTAAGCAGAGGGCTGTCCTGAAGCAGAGAACTCCATTGCTGTCAATCATCCAGCAAAGGGCAGGGCCTCTGACAAGTTGGAACTGGCTAAGAGACTGACTGTGGGGCCTCGATCTGGAAGACTAGGTCTAGCTCTGAGCTTCTGAGAGGTGAAAGTGAGGGCAAATCAGGGCCTGGGAGCTGACACTTAACAGCCAGGAGGTAGACACCTCTTGCCACCAGGCCTGGGCTACAGAACTGGGCTTATTTCTACATGGTCCCTCTCCAGCTTATTGGTGGGGGTGTCCTGCCAACATGTCTCTGTTGAATTGTGGCCCTGAGGGGAGGACTGGAGGTACTCAGTCAGGTGGGGTAGGTCACTGAGTGGAAGGAGTTCAGACCACCTAACAGATGGGGAACTGGAGCAGCTTCCTACAGTCCTGATCCACTCACCGTAGCACAGCAGTAAGAGGGGCCATAAGGGGGCCTAAGCCACTCCCATGTCTGGGGATGACACAAGCAGCTGGGCTCTGACACAAGAAAGCTCAGGCAAGCTGCAAGTTATTTTCAAGAGGGAAAGAAGACACCTGAGATGTACAGGTGTGAGTCGCTATCCAGGGCCCAAGAAAACATACCTGGCTTGTAGAAGGAAGTGGAATGAGAGTAACAGTGATAAGGATTTCACATGTGCATACAGATTGAAACCCTTTCAGGACCAAGAGATGGGCATGAGTTGTTACAGTCAGACCCAGGAACTACTGGGGGGTTAAGACTGTCATGATGGAAATCTAACGGGATCTTTCATATCACAGCTGCTTCAGAAATGCACAGATGCGTATCACTTAGCACCAGCATAATCAAGGTTGGGAGCAGCCATGTGGTGCAGGCTATCTCCCTGTACACTGCAGGTGGATAAATGCTTTCTCTGGAATCCTTACTATTATTAATGAGCTTGTGGTGGCTTTTAAAAACTGGAACATAACTAAATCTCAATCAAGGCCTTCTGGAGCCTCCCCAAGTGTGAGGAGCATTCTTTCCCATTCTCAGGGACTGGGGTCTGCAGGTAGGCTGTATTGCTAGGGCAGAAGCAACATGGCAGCGCTGGCCTGAGCTTCCAACAATCCCCAGGGAAACAGCCCAGCAAGGGGCCCTGTGGCTACAGTGACCAGCAGTGACTAGTGGCATAGATGTGCCATGTCCTGTCCAGTCTTCCAGGCAAGCATGTTATAAGTCATTGGAAGGTTTAGTGTCCAGGACAAGAGACAACTGATCCCAGACCTGTTGCTGTGATGAGAGACAAGAGTGTGCAGTTCTACATGGAGCCCTGGGGAGCTGCCTTAGCTTCTCTGAGCCAAACGGGATGGTAATACACATGGCCTCTTCCTGGGACATCCGTGGAAAGAGTCCCATGGGAGTTTTCACTTTGGTGAGTGCTGACTTGGCCTACAGCCCAGCGCTCAGCCTTCCACAGTGATGTGACACTCCATCTGCAAGGAGCACAACGGTCTGGCACGGTCACTATCTTACACACCTCAAATATTAGCCAAGGCCCGTTTAGGCCCAGCTACAACCTTCCTCCCTTCAACTTCCCGCTCCTGGTTCTAGTTTGCCTGAAGCCATGTCAAACTGCATCTGGGGCAGAGCCCCATCTACTGACATCCCAGTGTTCCCTAAACTTCCTAGCTCAGGGTTTAAGTAGTAAGCCTGGCCATTTCTATGATGCCTCATCAAGCTATGCATCCTACCAAGAATTAACAAAAACTGGATTTCATGGAATTTGCTTAGTGTAAAGACAGGCATGCCTCAGACCTCATTTCCAAGGACAGCGCACAAAGGAATTCCCCATGCTGCCTGCAGGTTGGGGGCTGCGGCTCCACCACAGCCTCTGGCTGACCCCTCTTCTTGCCACCCCAAACGGCCCTTCTCTAAAACCTCTTTCCTCTACAACCATCACCTGAGAAAGCCTAAGAGTGTCTTGGATATCATATGGGTTCTCTAGTGCAATTCTCAAGCTTTGGGAACAGTGTAGCCCTCATTGGTACCTTGACACCCTTCTCCCTCTGACTAACAAAACTGCTGCACAAGGTTGTGGTCACCAGGGAAGTCCCCACAGGACCCAGCACATCTTTCAGGGGACCTGCTTGCACTCTGGACCCCACCCAGGTGCCAGTCAAAGCCTGTGTGGTGGGTTCTCACATACTCACTTGGCCAGGACATCTGCAGAAGCCGTCTTAGCCCTATAACCACCCCACTGCTCTGCAGTAGAGAGCAGAGCACATCCCCAAAGGGGACCAACAGAGGTGCTCTGGGAACAAGTTCTGAGTTCTAGATTGCAAACGTGTATGAGACCCACTGGGTGGCAGGGAAAGGGATAAATCATAAAAGAAAGCTTTGGAGCATCTTTAAAATGATGTCCCAATGCAAAAGCCAGTACCTCAACCCAGTACAAGATGCCAAGTGCTACGTGTGCTTCAGCACGGTCCTAGGGGACCTGCCAGGGTGGAGGCTCCAAGACAGCAGCAGACCACACACTGACCTGTTTTCCTAAGAGGGAAGTCATCTTTGGCGTCGTACATTCCCAGGACTGGGTGGTTGTAGGAGGCCGACACTCCACTCTGGGGCGGAGAACTCTGGTCGAGGGAGCTGTGCTGTGTCTTCCTAGAGAAAGGCAAAGGCAGACATCAATGTGCCCAGGGCATTCCAAGCCACAGGATGCCCTTCCGTGAAACATGACCTTTGGTCAGCCCCTCTTCTCCATGGCTGAGTGAATAAACCAAACAAGCAGAAGCCAACAGGCAAGCAACGCCGCTCAGGGTCCCATCTGTTCTGTGGCCTGTTCGCTTCCTAGACCTGCCCGAGATCCCTGTGCCGATCTGTCTTTACATTACCAGGGTCACGACCAGTCAAGACTACCAGGTCTTGTCCTCGAGGTTCAGGCAAAGGAAGATCAGGGGGCCCAAGCATAGAAATAATAGCGAAGGCTGTAGGCAGTGAGGATGAGGTCAGCGCAGACTGTCTGCAGTGCTGGTGATGCATACTGTCTCCCCAAGTACAAGACCCTGGTGGGGCTTCCCTTTAGCAGAATATTCCCCTCATTCATGCCCTCACCACAGCAAATCCCCTGGCCATCTCCTTTTCTGGACAGCCCAGCAGCTGAAACCTCTGTTCTGGGAATTGCCATAGGAAGTGTACTTCCTTTCTGAATGGCCAGGCCATGATTCAAAGTCCTAAAAATGGCCAGATGGAAAGGGTTCAGGTGGATGGTGCTCAGAGCAGGGAGGAGGATGAAGCATGAGCTGGGCTTCAGGATGAGTTGGGGCCACTGAGACCACCCTAGACGACCATCAGCAAATGTTCCTGGATATACTGGCAGCCAAGTTTCCTCCAAAAAAGCTCAGGACACCCCGTGGGTCTTCAAGATACGCAATCTGTTTAATGACGAGAAACAAATTCGCCGACTTTCTTACTTGGAATTAGCTAAATCATTTATTTGAATACATAGTACTCTGCATCCATACATCTGGAACTATTTGAATCAAAAGTGGGAACTCTTAAACATGTACAGGTGTATATTTAAATATTTGAAAGCACATCATGCAGACAGCAGGCTGAAGGCAATCTCAGACAGAAATTCAAGAGGCCAGCCGTAAAGGGGCTCAGCATGGCCAAACATCCCCAGAACTCCTGGAGCTCAGGAAACAGCACCACTCAAGACAGGTCTGCCCTAATGACCACCAGGGCATACCTGCTGCAGAGGCAGGCGTTCTCCCGATTTGCTACTGTGGGGCTGGGGACGAGGTACACACGCACACACAGCCCCAGGGAGGCTGCTTCCCTAGAGTTCTTCCAGCCTTGGGCTCAATATCCAGGCCTCCCTCACACAGTGGCATTGAGGGTTTACACGCAGTGCCATTTCTTCCCAGATCATTTGTTTTCAGATAGCTTTTAAGATGTTCCTGAGAGGAGAATCTAAGATACAACAGAGGCCTTTGGTGGTCTTTTTCTCCTTCCTACAAACATAGAATGATGTATGTTGTTATGTGAGTTAAAAAGATAGTTTTCTATAGGAAAAAAAGCCATTTTAAAATGGTACTTTAAGTAAATGTAACAATTGTAACTACCATTGTTAGGCTTCCTAATTAAGCAAAAGTTGGAAAAGCTAGTCACTCAGGGTCTGATAGATTCCTCTTAACTGTTCTGATCTCTTGAGATGCTGTCAGGATTAAAGCCCACTTTTCTGCCAAGCCTTTAAATAAGCTGAAACATGAGGCCATTGTGTACAGCTTGCCCTGTGCCTGAAACAGCTCTCAAAAGAGCCATCTGGCTCCTTGCCCTCCAGGAGGGGGCCTCTGTATCCTTAAAACCAGCTTGTCTGTGAGGAGCACATACCCTCACCCCCAGTCCTTGGTTCTGCCCCTCTGCATGCCAGGACAGGTAACCACTTAGGAGAAAATGCCAGCAGACAGCCTCAGTGTAGTCTCCAGATGTCAGGCCAGCACACCCTACCCTGGATGAAACCTAGTGAGGGAGACTCCAGATGTGTGAGCAAGATCAAAATCCTATGTTTACAACCCCCTCCCCAATTCCTAAACCTTGTCCCCTCCCAATCCAGGCTCATACCCTCAAATCCTGAAAGTAAGACCTGCAGAGAAGCTTCTTCTAACTCTCCCTCACCAAGAACAGCTATTGGTTTTCCAACCTTTGATTTCCAGCCTAGGAGAGACACACAGAAGTCAGGGCAGGAAGATGCTGGTGTGAGATCTGGGGAAGCCCTGGGTGCACCGACCAGTCACTTTATCAAGAGTCAGTCCTTGGGGCTGGGGTACACAACTCAATGATAAAGCACCTGCCCGACATTCATGAGGACCTGGGTTCAATTCTCAGCACCACCACTGAAATAATAAATAAAAAAGATAAAAATAAAGGTAGTCTTGTCTTACTGAAGACAGAAAAATACTGCTGTTTTCTTTCTAAATATTACCTTGAATGTAGAATAAAACAAATTCCAAGCTTTTAAATTCTATCAACAACTGGCTTTTCCCATTATATCAGATTTATACTTGTGATTTAAAGTAAATAAAACTCGTTAATAAAGTGTCACAGCACAGTCCAAAAGAAACGTGGAAGCTACACGTGTAATTTACATTTCTAGTAGCTTCACTAAAAGGAGTAAAAGGGATGGGTGAGATTAACTTTAGTGGTCTACTTAACCAGATAGAAAATATCATTTCAACATGTAATTAACATAAAGCTTCCTCATGGAAATCCTGTGATCTGGAATTCCCACAAGTCCCTATTTGTACCAGTCATGTCCCATGCACTCAGGAGCTGCATGTGGGTGGCCATACTGCACCATGCAGTCTTGGACGAGGATTTAAGGTTGGAATCGTGGACATACTTCAACACACATGGGTCTGCATGCCTCACACCAATCAGGGCCTGAGCAGTTCCATCTCTGCAGACTGCCCCCTCTGCCCATTTGCTGGTCATTTCCCAACTTAGTTTTGCCTAATTCAGTTTCACAGGACTGGGGTGGCAAAGGGTGGCTCTGTGTCTGGCCTGAGCATAACTGTGTGAGGTCCCCACACTGTTGCAGTTCCAGAGCATGGATTTAACTAGTCTGCCAGTCCTTTCTGCTGCCAGCTGTGAATATAACGGCTAGGACCAGAGCACAAACTTGGTGTGCACCCATGTTCTTGGGCAAACACTAGAAGGCACACTGCTGGATCCCAGAATAAACGGGATTTCCCACAGTAAGATCTGCCAAACCTGTTTCCTGTGGGGCTGTGCCACAAATGCCCCCTGGCCACCTGTGCGGGAACAGCCATTCCCACCTTGCAACCCTTGTCCTGTTTTACAGCTTAGCCAGCCCAGTGAGTGGGAGGTGGCGTCTCACAGGGACAGCTACTGATGAGGCATGGCCACCCACGCAGCTTATCTGGGACATGCCTGTTCACATGGTTGCCTGAACACTCTGGTGGGTGGCTTGTCTTTTCATTACGTTGCAGCTTTTCATGCAGACTATCAGATAAACACACTGGGAGTGTTTGTCTGTTGCTTGCCTTTTTTAAGGTGCCTTTCAAAAGCTGAGGTTTTGAGTGTGTGGGGGGCGGGTTACAGCTGATGGTTTTGATGTGCCACCCCTCCCCTCATGCTTTCTTCTACAAATTTTATTGGCGTAGCCTCCTGGCTCAGCTTTCACTGGTCTTGGGCTAATCCTCACAATCACTATTGGGTAACAGTGGAAGACTGTGCTCTCTCTCAGTGTCTTGCAATGGAGTAGCAGCTGCACACAAGAGTGTTCCTTCAAACTGGCTGGTCAAGATTCTCATGTGACAAAACAAGGAAGCCACCAAACTCGATAAAAATAAGTTGGCCCTGACCGATGGGGCCTGATACCAATTCTGCCCCCTTAGCCAGCAAGCTCCCTAAAACCCTGCAGGGAAAAGGCAGGCAGGCCTTGTGGATCCTTGTGAATCCTAGACAGGCAGGCCTTGTGGAGGTCAGGGACCTCCCTGAGGTGCCCTGGTCATAGTTCTAAGGATACCTCCTCTCCCTCCAGACGCCATTCCCTTGTTCTCAATCTCTCAGAACATAGCTGTTTCCCTTCCCCATGGCGCCTCATCTGTAAGAGGCTTCCTTCTTCCACCTGCTGGCTGTGTCCTGCTCTCCCCCACAGCCTCTATTCATGGCAGCCTTTCTCCCCATCCTTGATACCAAGCTGCCTCATCTGTGCATAAGACCGTGACTGTCCTCCTGGGACTCTGACACAGTTGACTGCAATTCACAAGTCCCACTTCTTGCAAAGGCACCTCTGAGCCCTCTATTTTCTTATGACAATTTCCTAGATCTGGAGTCGGCCCTATCCCCACCTTCTCCACTGAAGGGGCTCCTCTTGCTCCCCCGTGTGATTATGATCTAAGGATCCGCTGCCGCCCTGTCCCAGCAGATGTCCCTTCTCTCCGTTTCTCCCTGTCCTTGCCTGCCTTTTCCAGCCATGCCCCATGTCTACCTCCAAACTGCCATCCTACCCACTATCCTTTGCTACATCCGCTTGACCATCCTCATCCCACGTGTGGACGGGGAACAGAGAGCCTATGCATGGCAGATGCCTGGGCTGACCTCTCTAGCAGAGGCTTCATCACAAGCCAGGCTCTGGCTGCCACAGGCCTTTCTTAGGAGCCCTCCTCCTCACTGCTGTCACCTGCTGCTTCTCACGGGCCTCCCGTCTCACCCTCTGAGCTCCACAAGGACCAGGGCATGCTTTGGTGGGAGGGCAGCTTGGGTGGATTTGCAGTATGTGCAGCCATGGAGCACAGGAAAGGCATAAAGAATCTCATCTTACAAATGCTCTTTGAGCTGTACTGTGGCAACTGAGGTCATGTACACAAATGGGAACATTTCAGAGTGGTTTTAGTAACAACAGTTGTCCATTTTGAGACTCTAGAAAAACTATTTTTTTGCTAGTGAAATTAACAATTACATTGTTTCTTTCCAGCAATGAAATGACCTTTAAGGCTGCATAAAGTACTGCAACACTATCATGTACCCAGTGTGAGAATTGGCCAGATCTCCTCACTGGGCTCTGTACCACAAACAGCCACTGCGGGAGGGAGGGCACCCCCCCCCATGCCCCAGTCAGCTGCCTGCATCGCTCAGCATGAACAAGGCCCTGCTCTGGTCTGCCCACCACGCATGCTGTCCCATGCAAATCTCCCTTCCTAGGTCTCTGGCTCTCTCCCAGGGACTCAGTAAATAGATCATAAAGATACTAAGGTGCTTATCGATTCGACCAGGACTCAATAAAGCACTGGATGAAAACCGAGTAATGGCCAGTGAATAATTAGGCCAGGGGTTCACTCTAAGTTGTTCCTATGATATTCAAGAATAGTGACTAGGCATGGCCTAGATTGCTACCTGGTGCTCTGAGGATGGTCTACTCTTCATCTGATGACAGTGACACACGTTATCCCCAGACCCACACACTTCAGATCTGGCTATGGTGCTTCAGGGATTCAATACTCCCCATTACATTAGAAGGAAAAGACCTGGGTCCACTCAAACCTGTCCACAGAGCTGAGTACTCCAGGCTCCCAAAGAGCAGGTCCGTGTCACTTACCCATACCAGTAGCGGGGGTCGCTGGAAATGCAATGGTTCAGGTTCCGGTGGGCCAGTGCCTTTTTCTTGTTGAGTACGAACTCCTGCAGCTTCATTTTCACCTCTGTGCTGGCCACGGCACCTGAGAGGAAGAGCAGAGGATGAGAGCAGTTCAGGGCAGGGGGCAGAGGATGCAGGGCAGGAGGAGGGCTCTCCCTCCACAGGGCACTGACAAGGCCAGGGAGCTTTAAGGAAAGTCTCCTGTCCAGGGACAACATGACTGTACTCTATCAAAACAAAGACTGCACAAAACCTACTTCTGAGGGAGTCTCACAACAAAGTTTCTGAACCAAGTGCTGGTGGCATGGTGGCTCTCCTCTTGTTACTGAAAGGCAGCAGACTCTGAAATGTTCCATGCAAACAGAATGTCCCACACAGCCACCCAGAGGGACAGGGTATGCTGGCATGCTGTACTGGGAAGCTGCTGCCAGTGTCTATTTACTCCACAGAATACAGCTTTCTGAGCTTGAAAAAACAGCTCTGTTCCCTCTTGCCTGGTCCCATACATTTGGGAGGGCAGATATGGCCATGCTGACTCAAGTAGAAGTTGTGGACCATGAGGCCTTCTTGTGTTATGGTGAAACCTGTGTTAAGGAAAGCTTACAGATTTGAGAAATACAAGAATACCCAACTCACCCTGCACAGGGACCTGCTAGCGTTTAGCCCGTGTCCTACTGATCTACCTGCAGGTACCTCAGTATTGTGTCCATCCATCCTTCTAAGGACTACCCCAAGGGATCCCTGCCAGTGTACAGTATTTGAGCACCACTCTGAGAGGCTCCAGATCCTTCACGCAGCCCATGAGCCATGTTTTAGCCCACCACTCCTGCCTAGGAGGCTCTGGCTGCCCTTCCAAACCTTGATCAATTCTTCCCAGGAGTCCCATCAGGTTGGTGCTGGAGTCTGTGGACAGGTTCTAGTCACCTGAGTTGTTTGGACATTTTTAGAGCAGTTTAAGCCAGTTCAGCAACTTAAACCACACATGAAAACTATGAGAAGGTATTCTTACCCCCAAGTTCCAAGTGGAGGGCATGCAGGTCAGGTCATCAGGTGAAGGGCATGCAGGTCAGGTGGAGGTCAGGAGGAGAGCATGCAGGTCATGTGAAGGGCAGGAGGTCAGGTGGAGGGCATAGAGGTCAGGGGGTCAGGTGGAGGGCATGCAGGTCAGGTGAAGGGCAGGAGGTCAGGTGGAGGGCATGCAGGTCAGGTGGAGGGCATGCAGGTCAGGTCATCAGGTGAAGGGCATGCAGGACAGGTGGAGGTCAGGGGGTCAGGTGGAGAGCATGCAGGTCAAGTGGAGGTCAGCAGGAGGGCATGCATGTCAGGTGGAGGACAGGAGGTCATGTGAAGGGCAGGAGGTCAGGTAAAGGGCATGCAGGTCAGGTGGAGGACAGGTGGTTAAGCCCTGGCAAGTATCCTACTAGCCTTACTGCCTTTCAGTACAGACATTTTGATGCATATATGCTACTTTTTATGGAGTCTATTGTGGTTTTTACCTTTGTGGGTTTTTTTCCTATTTCTTTATAGCTCTGCCACTGATTTTCCTTTCAAAGGTTTGATAATTATTTGAGGGGCTGGGGTCTTGCCTAGCATTAGCAAAGTCTTGGGTTCAATCTCCAGGACCACCACCAAAAAAACACAGACACTGTTAGTTAACTCTGGGCTTTGACTAGCTGACCTGTCTGCTAACATGATTTCTGTTTTATTCTGCAGGAGGCTCAAGCACTCTTCAGCAACTGGCCCGTGAATTGCTAAGACCATTAGCAGAGCAGGCTCTGCTTGCCTTTGTATGTCTGAGGCAGCTGTCCTTGTTCAAGGGAGAACTTTTTTTCAGTCCCACACTCTGGTTCTGCACAGCAGAAATCAACTACAGAGGGCACAGGAATGTCTGGGGTATGCACAGGGTCACCAGCAGCATCCTTGACACAGGGTCTGACAGGAGTGTGGCAGAACCTGGACCTGGCAGCAGGGAAGTTACAGCTGATGGGGGTGCTGCTCTCAGACTGTCTCTTCCTTGTTCAGGAAGAGCAGCTTGTGTGGGCTTCTGAAGCCATGCCAGTTAAATCCCAATGACAGTGAAGGCCCAGCGCAGGCAGAGCAGCCCAGGTCAATGCACTGTCCTGCAGACATGGAAGGTGGAGGGTTTGTGGACCCTATGAATGGCTTTCCGTAACTGACTACTCCTTGTTCCAACAGGGCTATGCTCGTAACCAAAGTGCACGCTGCTGTGACACGCTAGCTGCACTCTGCTGAAGATAGGCTTAGGTCTGCACTGCTAGCCGGTATTTTAGATTCCTGAGTGTTTCCAGATGAAAACTCGGTTGATTGGGGGCTGGGAGACAGATCAGCAGTTAAAAGCACTGGCTGCTCTTACAGAGGACCTGGGTTCAGTTTCCAGCACCCATGTGGTGGCTAACAACTGTCTGTAACTCCAGTTCCAGGGAATCCAAGGTCCTCTTCTGACCTCTGAAGACATTGCACTACACAGGTACACTTACATACATGCAGGCAATATGCTCATACACATAAAATAAACATAATAAAATACTTTTTAAAAAAACGAGTTGACTAAAGGTGGTGCTCCTGCTAAATGTGACAAAAAATGCTGGGATCTCTGAGAATTCACTTTTCTGTCAAAGTAATTTCATTATTTGATATTAATAAATAAAACTGCAGAATGATCAATTATCAATGTTTGCATCATAAATGTTTACAAACATACACACAACTCACTATTTAATAAAGTCATATAAACACAACCTGAAGAAATGAAGTAGCAGATACTTTGCACTGGGTTTCAGATGTTTAGAAACTGGAGACACATCCTGCTGTTTGCATCTGCTGGCATAAACAAGAATCCCCTTCATGGCTGAGGTGCCTGGGCCTACTGACAGTAAGAGCTCGGCAGTGCCTCCCAACCACGGTCTGCTGGCCCGCTTTCCACCATGGGACCACACTCTTGAGGGCTGCAAAGCCTACGCAAGCTTGCCAAAGACCCAACTGTACACAGTTTATTATTAATAATAAAACCTGACCACCCGAACCCACACAGTGAAAACCACGGGGCTGCTGCCTGTGATGGGTTGGAGTGAACCAGAGAACATTCCAACACTCAGTCAACGGAGGACGGGGCTTAGTGTGCAGTGTAGAAACTGTTTTTGACTTGCAAACAGATCTGAAATGTTTTCTAAAGTCATATTCTGTGAGACTTAAGATAATATTTTTACTGGACCACTTTGGTAAACTGTGAGAAAGTAATTTAGACTGAGTTGCTTTTAAAATTCTTATTTGTTGGTTATGGCACAGATTGACTAGCTGATACTGATTATCTGAACTGTAATTCTTTGATAAGCAGCCATAATTTCCCCTTCGCCAAAGAAAAATATGTAAATAGGATACTGCTGAGGAATAAGCGGGTCACAGAGAAGGAGTGGGAGTCCAGCCCAGGGTCAAGATGTGAGTCTAGCCTGGGCACCATGCCTATAAGGCTTTGGGTCCTGTGCATGCATTCTGTAGGGCAGCACCAAACTGTATATACACAATCAAGGCCTCACAGGCTCCTACAAGGAACAGGGAAGTGGCTTCCTAAGTAGAAGGCCGACGGGGCAGACCATGAGCCTCCACGGTATTTAGAATCCTCACACAGAGTAGAAGTACCTTACTGGACTTTGGTACTCATCACATATATGGCTCTACCTCGAAATCCTATCACTTAAAGTGAAAAAAATTAAAAATGTTCATTATTTCAAGAGTGAAATGTTAGAATTATTGATGATTACAATAGTGTTAATTTCCTGGGTAAAAAAAAACTTAGAATTTAGAAATAAACTGGCAATTAAGAGTAATTTAGCAATAAGCTCTTTGAAACATATCTGTTTTGAAACAAACTGAAAAATATTCAAAATTATACTGGCATATTAGACTACATCCCAACTAAAATTTAGAATTAGCTTGGTACAATAACAATCTTTACACTTAAACTCAAGAACTGAATTTACTTGGTAGTTTAATCCCCTTTTGAACATCAGGACTTTTTTTTTTTTTTTTTTTTAAAGAAAAGTTCAATTAAAACTTCTAACGAGGATTAGTTAAAGGCAAGCCAAAATAGGCCAGTCTCAGAATTGGACTATACCCTCATGGTGCATATACAAATGCAGATCACAGACAGAACAAAGACGACGACTGAAGACCGTAAGTAAGGACTGCGGCTTCCAGGATCCCTGCGGGGAGTGGGCAGGAGACCTGTAGGAGGCTTCAGCAGCCTCTGTTCGCAGACAGGGACATAGAGCACATGGGACAGAGGGTGAGGCTGGACAGAGAGAGGGGGAAGAGGTGGGCCTCCCTGGGCAACCCATTCCTCTGGAGCTACCTGTGGATGAGAAAACAGGTGGCGGCCAGGGTCAGAGCAGTGGAAACTGGAGTGTACCAAGGGGGAAGGACCCAGGAAGCCTCACAGGGCCTGGGCAGCTGCAGAGAGTGCACTTATGTGGGGAAACCACAGTGGCCCAACATCCACCTGTGATCAGCTCAAAACCCACTGCACCGAGATGATTAAGATGTTTTAATGCATCTAGTCAACTATAAAAAGCAAACAGGAAACTCAGTCTGAACACAGAGGCCAGGATCCAGAACCACTTCTTAGCTCTATGTGCACAAACCACAGCAGGCCGAGACAAGCTGGAGAGGGGGCAGAGGGTGACAGGGAAGGGAGGGAGACAGGTGGAGGAAAAACCCAACCAGAGGGCACTCTAAGAACTGCGCTGTGCACATAGAGACAGAGACCCTATGAGTCTAACAGCATATTATTTTGCAGGGAGGTGCAGTGGATGTTAGAATGGAAGAGAATACCACATGAAGCAAAGGGACTCTATCCGTACAGGAGACGCTCAGAGGACACAGAGAAAAGAACTAACCATGTACAGCTGAAGTTTCAGATACACTGACTGAAGAGATTAGGGCAAAAGTATTATTTTTTTTTTTTTTAGATAAAAAATGAGAATAATCAGTTCTAAGAATTCATACATGTACCAAATCACAGATCTAAGACTATAAAAGCCCAAGAAAAATAAAACAAAACTGTAG